GTTTCGTCCGAACTGTCCGTAGGGTTCGGCAAGTCCAGCCTGTTCGGGCGGTCTGGCCAGTTCGCCCAGTTCGAATAATGTCCGAGATATCCGCTAAACTGACTACGGGGTATGTTGTGGGAAAGGGAACGTGTTACTTTCCACGCGGAAGGGACGGGGAAGTATAATAGAGAAGACGACGGTGATGGGGGGAATACATATGTGGTTTGTAATGTGACAAGACGCCAGGGATGAAGGAGACTTACGAGATACCCAATAAACCAGACGGACTAAATTATTTCGTAACTTGCATGTAGGACTGGCGGAGACGGGCTTATTCGCTATTCTTCCATAAACGTCATATTAAAAATCCTATAATTATAATACATTTCATATATATGTACAGGTTCGGGGTGTACATACACATTTATTATTTGTTCGATTGCAAGGTGCTATATTTTTTTATGTATTTAGGCTTATAACCAACTTTTTTTAAATTTAGCTTAAAGAATTTACATACATATCTGTAAATATGTGCATTAATAAGTAGGTATACGAATGCATAGACTCGTTCGCAATACATATAAATATATACATATTACAGTTATGTAAATTTGGCGCGTTTTTCGAAACACAATATCCAGTATTGTTATGTAACTATTGTTTAGTAATGTACGGGGCAAAATTTTAGAAGAATTTTAGCAGAAGAACGTGCTACATATTATTAGTTAACCCAAAAAAGCAATAATATCTTTTAACAGCTAAATCTGGATTTGGTTAAGATTCGTGCACAGCTTATCTTGTCTCACAAATAAGGAAATAAAGAAATCCTGTAACTAAGGAAAGGAAACACTGTGAAAATGACATTGATATAAACAAGCAGTGTACTCTAGGGCAACAAAGCATGCCTGCCGTAAACATGTCGTAAATGCCTTTTTCAAAAATGGGGCAAAATAATACAGTGGCTTCATGTAAAGTTGTTTGATGAATATTCTGATTAGTAATTAGATATGTCGTCGTACTAATTCATAAAAGACCTAAGTGCAGTCGATAGTTTATTAAGTAAAGATCTAAGTGCAGTCGATAGTTTTTTAAGAAACAACCTAACTAACTAACGGGCCGGTGAATATTTTTAACACGGAAAGGATGCATCTTGTGCTTGTTACAAATATCCACCGGCCAGTAAGTAGTTAGGTTGTTAAGATAGACTAATACAATGATACCAATGATTTTTAACCGCCCTACCGATTTTGACCGGAGATCCCTCAAAATTTCCGTAATTTTTAGTAGATTAAGAATCTGAAATAATATTGAGAGGTACGATATGTAGTTTTCGCGCTACAGTTAAGAATATGCGAATTTAATGCGAATTTTGTGACATTTGATTTTTGACTCAAACTGGTCAAATATCGTTCAAATTCGGCTCAAAAATTATTTTGGACCTAGATTTAGTCGTTTGATAGAATTTGAGGGCCAGATTTGCAAATTCGCGAGTTTTGGAAATATTCGCAAATTCATACCTTAGTAGTTCACGATCGAAATATGGAACTTTGTATAGTTTTTTAACGTATTAAAATATGAGCCCATATCAAGTACGATTTATACCTGTCCAAACAAAGTTAGAGTTTATTCTTGCAAGATATAAAAATTGGACTCAAAATTTCAAGGTAACCCTTACCTGGGTTGTGCAGATACTGCGGTAATAAAGTTGTAAATGTTTTATAATTTCAAATGTCGCATATACAGCTGCGCAAGGTTTTTGTTTTTTGCAAATACCAAGGCGAGTTGTGTTGTATGCCCAAAACGTTTAGTTAGTAGAATATTATATTGAAAAACAAGTATCCATATATTGGGTATTAACATAAAGTCTACTATCCGGACACACAATACTTGTTTCTTAATAAACTATCGACTGCACTTAGGTCTTTTCTTAATAAACTATCGATTGCACTTAGGTCTTTTCTTAATAAACTATCGACTGCACTTAGGTCTTTTCTTAATAAACTATCGATTGCACTTAGGTCTTTTCTTAATAAACTATCGACTGCACTTTGGTCTTTTGTAAATTAGTACGACGATGTGTAACTTAATACGTTCACAATTAAAGTTGAGTTGTTTGTACGGCTTTATCAAGGTGTTCACAACATAACCACTAATAGGGTGTAAACAAATACATGATGTATATATGCACGTATGTAATGGTGTATGTTTTATTGAAAATTCTAAAAAAGCGTGTTATATATAAAAATATTTTCACATCTTGTTTTTCAACAAGTAACTCAATGTAGTTTAAAATTTTGTACGACCAAATTTAGTGATTAAAGGTTATTAAGTTTATACATTTTAAAATTCTACATTTCATGTGCACACTATACATAGATACATATGCAAGACACCTCAAATTCCTAAGAATTATAGAACTAATTTTAGAACCGTTTTGCTACGTTGATTTGCAATTATGACTGTCCCTTGATCAGATAAATCATTTTTGTGAAAAAACACTGTTCGCTGAGGAAGTATGAGATGCGGAAAAAATAATAAAACAAGAAATATTTATTTGTTTGTCGTGAGATCGGACATCATTGACATAATTTAAAATATACAAAGCTTGTATTACGGAATACAGAGGGTTCATCGCCTCGCTGTATACGATTTCAGTAGTTAATAACTTTGGCGCGACCCAGAATTTGGAGCTACAATTTGGAGGTGTTGTAGGTAGTATGATGTTAAGTTTATCTGTGTGAAATTTGGTGTTAGTATTTTGAAAAATACTTCCCCCAGGATCTCCAGGGTTGGAAGCCCTCATAAACGTTTATACATACATATTATTTACAGGAAGGTTCAAACGTTACAAGTTATGCGGTAAAACCGCGGAAAAGGATCTATTTTTAACATTAAACGTATTAATTCGAGTCTGTGTGAATTGCAAATACCCGCCATATCTCGAATCCCAACGTTGATTTCGAAAAGTGATCATTGCAGCGCATACCACACGACCTCACTGAATACGATTCCAGTGATATTGTAAGGATTACCACGAACTGGGGGGTATATTGATATATTCATGTATTGAAGAAATTTAAGTTTTCAGAAAACCAGCGATAACTTTTCAGGAGAGAAAATTTTTAAAGTATAGTTATTTTGAATTACGTGCATGCGACCCTCAGGAATATGATTCCAATGAGAGCGACTCAAAAACTGATTCTGTAAGGTACGTACTCCAGTGGAATTGAAACGACATGAAGCATGACATTTTGAATTTTCCCGCCTCAGGAAAGCTTTATTTGAAAAAATGTTTCAGGACAATGCTGTAGCCCAGTAACCTGTAGATATTATAGACGTAACAGGTTTTCAATATCTAACACCCAGATCATTTGAAAAAATATTTAGTGCATCGACGACCCCATCATACGTAAAGGTCAATAGCTCACGACGTAAACAAAATTTTGAAAAACCGTGTGCGTACCCTATCCCTATAATTGGAAGGGGCTTCTAATAATTTTTACCGCATCCTCCTATGTTGTAAGGCCACCCCACACAACCCCTTTCAAATTAACATTGGCTGTGGTGATTCCATACTATCTATTTCACATATACTTCCATGCAGCATGAAAGTAAATGGAAAAAAAATAGAAAAATAGAAAAAGGCAAAAATTATACCCAAGTCTTTGTGACATACGTACAAGGATACGTATGTTAATTTAAACAAATATACACGTTAATTAGGTATGCCGTAAAATATTTAACTACATGATGCGTTTAATATTTCTTAAATCAACTAATATTTTCAAAGCCTTTACATATTTACTAAACCAAATTGTTAGCACCGATCCTGACCTGTAGGCACATACAGTTAGAGAAAGAATTATTGGGGCAAGGTTTCCTTCCAATTTCAACATTTTGAAACCATTAATAATAATACGGGTTCCATTTTTGCATATATTGTAGACAATTTAATGGGCTTTAAGTTAGCACCAAGAATTAGTTAACACATAACGTATTTAAAGGGATAATTTGAAATAACGGCGGCTCCGTCGAAAAGAGCGCGAATAAATTATTGGACCAAGTTCACTCAGTGCATTATTTCTTAGAGAAAACAGCCTTTTGATCAGGTAAATTAATTTTAATACAAAAGTTAATACATTATCTGCAACATTTTAACATTTTATCAGATTATAGGATAATGGGGAAAATAGTAGCAAAAGAGTTCTTCCGGAACCTCAGTACCGCCAAAAGCTAAATAGTCCCATGCCAATTTACATAAATATCGAAAATAAACTCCATTGTCCTGAACAAGGATAAATAATTCCATATTATGCTTAACATTGAGACAAAAAATTGGTTAAATATTCACCTTCCACCAACTAAGTGAACCTGCATCCATTAAATCAGTTGAGATGGGGGTTTCTTTTAAATGTCTCTCTAGTTCGTCTGTCTGCACATCGGATTTATGTAAATTTGCCAATTTCTGAGAAAAAAGTGATAGCTCCTCATGACTAAGGACGTCGATTGACTAAAAATTATGGGATTTATATTCCTTGTTCCAAGCTTCGGTAATACGCCTACAAAGTGGCTTAAATTAAATGATTTCTTTACGATTTTATTTTTAGTGCATGATCTCAGTTCACGTGCAAGTTCCATTTCTCAAATGGAGCTGTTCTGGAGACATGTTTTTGACCCATAACTCGGCATATAACTCGGCATATAATATTTTAAAAGGCCACTCAACAAAACCATTCCAAATCCCTAAACCCAAAAGTGTGCAAAAGTTGAGATAAATAGTTTGAGAAATGACAGAGTTATCCAAAGAAGTTTGTTCTGAAATACTGAGTGAATGAATACTTGCATAAGTGGATTCTTTTATGGTTATCGCCTAGAGATTAATTTGCTTCACGTAAGAAAAGACATTTGCTCATGATCTAGGACCTTACAAATACCTGTTAATATGCTCGTAAATTTTAATTAAAATGTAAGTTTATGTAAATTATTAGCACTTATCTGTTTGTACATATATACAGTATTTATTTAAATTTTATTGTAAATAACTTTCGTAAAAGAAATAAATTCATTGCGTTCTACAAACATCAAGCAAACTGCGAACAAAGCTCTTAAACATTTACACAGATTCATCATTATTTACGTGTGCTCCAAAACAATCTATAAAAATACTCATGTTGCCGAAAAATGAGTTCACGGGGTAGATATGCTTGCAATTAATATTGCTTGTAAATCTTCTTTTACGTAATTATGCCTTATGCCTAGCAATCATGCTGGTGTAAAGATTTATGCAAACAGATGTCATATAATTTTTAGAAACCTACAATGCCAACGCTGCACAAAAAAAGAAATATAATTATTTATAAAATCTCCGCGCCATCTTCAAGTACATATGTGCATAGATATAAATAAAGGGTATATAAAATTAATCAACTCATCTAAAAGTAATCATCGCCATAATTTTCTGCTTTCTTACTACCTGCCAAATCCGAATATCCCGCTATCATTCACTCAATTTCTCTTAAAGACAATTACGACGACCTCCCCGAAGGCCAGCTCAATATAATCTCTCCCACCCATTAGTCGCATAGTTAACGGATTTATGCCAATTACACAGCCCCAGATCCCTCCATACATTGATTCCATTAAGTCCGATACAGTTGCTGCTGCTGCCCAATGAGTTCCGTCGACTATAAAGGCACGTTCAACGAATCCAATGATAATGTTTTTCATCTTTGGGTTGACATAACTTTCCACAACAGTCGGCGGTAAACCCAAGGTAAGAATATGATGCAAAGCTTTGTCTATTATCGACGAGGATGACTCGACTGGACGACAGTCTAGTGGGTTTGAGACAGAATTCGCAATCCGCGACCTCAGTGGTTCCATCTTAGCCGGATTTCCAACCCCGGCTAAGATGGTAACCACTGACGTAAACCCGTTAGGTTTACGTCAGTGGTTTTGCCAAGGACTCTTGGGAATACCTTTTTTTCCTCTGGCCCATCGTTGATGATTGGCATGCCACCTTGTTTGCCAGAATCCCGGGAAATGCCATAATTCTCGCCACGTTGAGTAATATAATTTAGAAGAGTTGTGTAAATTTGATCGTTGGGGTGCAAACCAGGATTGGCAGTTTTCTGCAAAATGTAATTTAGGCGTTATAATTCAAATTATGAGGTATATTTGTTATTCCGTTAAATACATACATCATGTTATACTATTGTAATCTACTTACAAGGGATACTACATATTTAGGCAGTTTGGAAGTTCACATTTCTCACCGCATGAAAAAAATGCATAAATGTGCAAAACTGCTTTTGGCACATATTTGGCGACTTTAATAAGACTAGCCAGGTACTTTTCACATAGCTTTGTAAAGCAGCCAATATTTCTATCACAACTTGGCCCTCTAACAGTATCTCCAAAATTTATAATCCCAAATAATTATTTTATCACATCCAAAAACCAAAATTTAAATAAGTCTTTACATTTAAGATAACATATCTTTCGGGTCAAGAATATGCAAAATTAAGGAAATCTGAGCAATTTTCAATTCTTGGTCATAATTTAGAGTCAGTTTAGAATTATTCTACTTTTGCAAAGCATTGGAAGAAATCTCTCAATGTGCGCTATTAGATTCGCCATAAATTAGCCAAAAGTGGTTTTTGCCACTGAAATTTTTGCACATTCTTTCAACCAAATGAATTACGGAGCTTCTACAAGTATTAAACTGTCTTAACTTTTCACCTACCTAAATACAATCCCGTGTTAGCTAACTAATAAATGGGTATTTTTTCTTATTTCATATCTATTTACCTCTACGTAATCCAAAGTTGGCACCTCCTTTGAATCGTAATCCCCATAGACGGTCGTGTTTGTCTGCTTGGACACCACGTGACGCCCTCTTGAAAAGATGTCCACCCCCACAGGGTCTAAGGTTTGAACTGTTGGAAATTCACTCCGATTGAATTTATCAAAGTTTACAAATCCTCCATCTTTTTCCAATACGAGTGGAGCACAAGATAACTATCGAATATATTAAGATACATTAATTTGGTTGCCTGTTTTAGGTTTTGGGTTAGTTAGGTTTTAGGTTAGGTGTTTTAATAAAATATAAAAAGTACTTACACAACTAAGGCGCAAGACCAGGGTAAAAATAATTTTCCTAAAAACCATTCTCGCCATCTTTGTGCGAACTCTTGCTAAGGGATGTATGTTTTAAATTTTAAATTTAAATAGTTACGCTTGACTTGCACTTTGCTGGTTAAGAATAAAGTAAAAAATTGGATGCGCTTGCAAAACATGAAAAGCGTTCAGTACTCGAATTTATAATGTTCGACTGCGAATAATTCGCATGTATATATACTGCTTCCAGCCGCCAGGAAGTACTTTACATTTTATTCTTATATGTATTAAATTAATGAGTTAGAACATGTGTTAAATATAATTGAGGCCACTATCAGCCTTAATGTAGTGTGGAAAAAAACTCATTAACCCGTCAATCAAAGTTTTCGCAGTAAACAAGTCTTGGCTGAGCGATAAAGGATTAATTCAAGAATATCTTCTTCTTGCCACACTAAACTAATGATGGACGGGGTTTGGTTGCTGGATCGATCATACAAACGTTTGGTGGGATGGTTACAAAGAATGTGAGTGTGATAACATTTACAATTTTCAGGAAAAATATAATTTTTTTAACCTAATTAAGTTGGGTGAGGAATATGCATAAATAAGTAGATGAATATGCGGGGTGACTTGTCCATTGACTCTTGGAATAAATTTTGTATATTACACTATGAACCTAACCATACTGGGCCACGGCTTTTTTACAAGCGAATACGGAGAAAATCATTCAAAAATTTTCCACGAAAAAGTTAGTCCTAATCTTTTTTCGTAATGAGGTCGAAGGTTTTAAAGCTTGTCGGGCTCACATACAATCCTTCACTGCAAGCTTGTAATATCCAATAAAGTTTACAAGTTTTCCATGCGCTCCGTCAAATCATCTCTAAATCATCTTGATAATATTCCATCTCCTCCGTACAAGCACGTCGACCATAATTACCAACTTTGTGATCATGTTAATTAAGAGTGATACAAATTCTCAGAAATGCTGGCATTAGTGAACTTCAGCGTATAACATTTTAGTGAGTGTATGCTTGATGGGAAAATAGTTTCTTGAATATGGTTAGGATCGTAAAAAATGTTGGAATCTAGAAACAATTGACTCTCAAATACGCTTTGAGAGTTGTGCATTAACGAGTAACCACTTAAAAATAAAAGAATGCTACAATATATTCAACTATGTATCTGGTAATTAGCTCCTTCAATATGAATTCCTAACGATTATCTAATGGATATATACAGGTCTTTTGGAAGAGAAATTCAATGTGGATCCAGATATTTTCATTAGATATCATGATGTGAGTATATATGTAGCTTCTGTATTTATTATATACGATATATATTATTACAAGGTTTATACCTACATGCGTACATATTACATACGAACATTAATATTGAGGAACTGAGGATGAGTGAACAACTAGTTATACATATGCATTTGCATGTGCGAATCCAAATATCTGCAAACTTTGTTTTTTAGAAATGGCCTTTTTTCGCAAAGTTTGCAAAAATTTATCTTACATTAAAATTTAAGTTGAATCGAAAATGTTGATAAGGTCGCAAGCATTTATGAACTCAAGCTAATCTTTTTGCTCTGCAATGTTTGCTACATATTTATGATATCGAGAGTTATATCAATGTCAAAACCACGATGAAATTAAATTCGCACGCGTCCATAGTTATTTGTAATCGTAAAAAAATTGGATTACATAATATCATATTTGAATTTAGATAAATATGTTTCTGAACAGTATATCCCAAAATATTAAGTTTTGGTTAAAAGGATAAGTAAATTTATTCCATGTCTATGGTCGATAGTGATAAACATTATGTAGCGCATATAATTAGCCGCACCTCTTAATGATCCAGCAAATTGATGATTGTATTGGTCCAGTTATTGATTAAGAGTCAACAATGGCAGCCATCGGAAATAACTTTTCCAAATTGGGTAATTCTTCCCTTACATCAAGTCCGTATAATTTAAGGGAAACTGTCTTGACAGAATTGCAGACTTGACCCTCTGCTGGAAAAAATATGTCCAACCAAGGCTGGCAGAATTGAGTCCAGTGTTCGTAGCGGAAATGCTCTAAAACTGGGAAATGTATGATGTAAAGAAAAGGCTCAATTTTTGGCGCTTTGTTTCGAAATAGTAATTCCAACTTTCTCAATCGCGGTATGTGTGGGAGCACCAATCTTTCCGGCGACCAATGAACCAACTCAATCTGAAACTCAAATTCTTGCAGTGTTTCGTTAAAGGAATTGAAATTTAAAAAATCTTGGAATCTCTTGACGTCATTACAACTTGTCAGCTGGATAGGACCCATTCTTAGCTTTTTCAATTTCCTACCCAAATTGCGGACCGAGCTAATTCTAGTGGATCGCACCTGTCCTGGCCATATCTCAAGACTATGCAGGTTTGGGGACCAATCCTCTCCTGTTTGGGAAATCCGTTTAAGCGTTTCCTTTAAAAATTTGTTGTGATGTGTCCAATCGTGCACTTTCAAGGTTAGAGACAGCAGGTTAGGAAAATAGTGGATCAATTGGTCAGAAATAGAACCAGATTTCCAGTCAAGGCTTTGTCTTCTGTTACTGTAGAAAACTAATTCCTTAACTTGAGTGAATGGGAAGCCATCTTGTGGGAAGACTCTTTTTATATCAGAATCCAAACTGATTATTTGAATACATGACAAATTTGGCGCGTGAGCTAGCCAGACTTGTCAATTTATTCCTGATGAGATGGTCAGCGTCTTGATTTGAGGTCCAAACTTAGCTAGAAAAGTTAATAAATCTGGAGATTCCGAATCAACGTCAAAATTGGAACGGATGTTTTGGCAAACAAATGGATAGGAGGAAAAATCAGGGACTTTCCTCCTTCTATACTGGCTGAAAAGGTTGTTAACTCCAAGATGTTTATCGCTCATTAAATCCACAGAGGTGGCTCCTTTAATTTTCAGTAATGGGATTGCTTCCTGAGACCAGAATTTATTCACGAGACGACACGATATGAGTGATGATACGCAGAGGAAGCTGAGTATTTTTGATACTATCTGGAATATTTAAAACATGCGTGGAAGTATTACGTTATTCATGGCAATTTCCATGATCAGTTTTTTTAGCTTGATTCCAAACTCTAAGTTTAAACAGTATTTTAAGCAACAAATTTACGTATATTGCATTCCCATCATGAAAGTCACCAATTTGTAGGCTTCGCGAGTGTCACAAATCGAGATTTAAATGTTTATACAGATAAGAATCAAGTAATGAGATGTGAATTATAATGTATAATTCTGCTCTAATAAACTAAAAAAAGGTGAGGTTTAAAGTCGCTGTATAGCACTCCGGCTCTAGCAGACTGTGAGGAGTCAGGACAGGTAGGATAGGGTGAGTTTAACTAGGTATGAGTGGACTCCATTCGGACAGGTACAGTGCACAATACTATTATATAGCGTAGCGTAAGTGAAAATCCCTGGACCGGAGAAAACACGAACCAGACCGTTCAACATGTATCGTACCGGAGTCCATCCAGATGGAAGCCAGCTATAGCCTTATACAGGCACTTGCTACCCCCAAGCCAACCAATACGTTGACGGCTGGTCCCAAAAACTCCTACCTCCACTCTGTTTCGACCCAGCACCTTGAGAGGAGAGAGATGAATGCGTCTACCTCCTGGCAGGGCCTCTAACCACTCTGACACGGTGCCGGGTCTTGCTCTAGTAAACTAAATGATAGACTTTACCGGACTAATGTTGCAATGGAATAAACAAGTCAACCATCAAGTTCTCTAATATTTTACTATAGGTGGATACTTAATTTCGAGGATAAGCTTCGTTGACTTACGTAAGGATTTATCATGACACCTACTTTGTTGCGGAGTAAATTGCATAAACCCCGGCCCATCGAAAATATGCATTTTATGCCAAGACAAAAGAAAAGTAAACCAACTTTCACTTCAATGCATGCTATGCAAAAATTCCTACCATCGAACTTGCCTAGAGATAACCAGCTTAACCCAGTTCAGAGAAATCAAACAATCAGACTCCTGGAAATGCCAACAATGCACCGATACATCACCATTAAAAGAATGTACAATTTGCAACCTAACTACAAACCGACACATGGTGCAATGTCATTCATGCAACAAATATTTCCACACTTTATGTGTACGAAAAACCCAACCCTATTCCGATGACCAAGAATGGAGTTGTTCCGAATGTACATCTCCCCCACAACAATCACTACCTGCGATATCTTCGACGACAACGAAAAAACTACCACGAGGTGTTAAAATTGGACACGTTAACACCAGAGATTTTCTTTCAAAAACGAAAAAAGACGACATACAACAACTAATTGTCAACAACAATTTTCACATCTTCGGAGTTACGGAAACCTGGTTGACGAAAGAGATTAATAACGAAGAACTACAATTACCTGGATATGAAATGACACGTCAAGATCGACCAGGAATTAAGTCCCATAAACAACGCGGAGGAGGATTACTACTATACACCAGAGAAGACTACGAGGTCACTTTGCTCCCTTCTCCATTTCCTCCCCCAGTTGAATCCATAAAAGTCGTTCTTAAAAAACAACACCTACCTGACCTTATCCTCATCCTTACTTATCGTGTAACAACCACTCCTAAATCCTTCCTTGTCCAAATGGAAGACGAAATTGCAAACAATAGTCAGTCTGAGTTTTATATGATAGGGGACTTTAATATTGACCAACTCAAATCAGAATCAAGTGAATTTAAGTCTGCAATTCGACGGCAAAGTTGCAAACAACTCATAACTCAGCCAACCAGAGTAACTACCGACAGCAAATCATTAATAGACTTAATTGTGACCAATCGAGTTGACCTAAACAAAAACCGAGGAATAATACACGATGTAATTGCCGACCATGAAATCATATACACAATACGGAAAACACAGAAACACAAAAGATGCCCAAAAAAACAGTAACAATAAGATCATTTAAAGACACAAACGAAGAAAAATTGAACGACATGGTCAAAACCGCTCCCTGGTGGATATTAGACTTTCAATCAGATATGAATTTAAAATGTGAATTATTTAACAAACTCGTGACCCTAATTTTGAATATACATGCACCATTTAAAACATTTCGAGTGCGCGTGAATAAAAAGCCCTGGATGACTGCAGAATACGAACAAATTAATAAAAATGTAGAAAGAGCCAAAAAAGACGCACATAATTCTGGATGCGAAGATGACTTTAAAAAATTTAAAGAAATACGCAACAAAGCAACCAGCCAAAAATTTAAACTTAAAGCATTAAAAATTAAACAACAAGCAAGTGAGAGTGATAATTCTTCCAAATTTTGCTGGAAAATGCTCAATACGGAGATTGGTCGTATTAAAACTTATCAAAAGTTACCTGATTTGTTCCACAATGGAGAGTTTATTAAAAATGAACGACACAAACTCGACATACTTTGCCAGCATTTCGCCAATCCTGATCTACCTCAACCCCAGCAACCAAACACACCGCCACACCATCCCGACATCCCAGAAGGCGAATTACTAACAAATATTAGGATCTCAGCGGAGGAAGTAAAAAGAGCCATAATAAAAATCAAAGCAAATAAGCCGAGCGGATGTGACGGAATTCCACCCAAATTCTTTAGGATATGTGCTGAGTCGATCTCCCTACCCCTTTCCATGCTATATAATGAATTGATGGAAGCAGAAATGATTCCTAGCGTAATGAAGGAAACAATTATATATCCATTATACAAAAAGAAGGGTGCCAAAAACTGTGTAAAAAACTACCGACCAATCTCAATCTTACCTGCCACCTCTAAAATATTAGAAAAAATCATATATGACCGGATACATATGTACACAGATAAGTACGATAAATTATGCAACGAACAACACGGATACAGATCAAAGAGATCAACGCTGTCAGCAACCCTGGTCCTGACTGATGCCATCCGTGAGGCTGGAGAACGACGACAAATGACGGGAGTCGCCCTAATTGATTTTGAGAAGGCCTTTGAATCCTTGGCGTATCCAATATTACTAAACAAATTACAACAACTTGGGATAACAGGCAAGGTGTTCCAATGGTTCAAATCATATTTCGAAGAACGGACCATTACAGTGCAGAGAGGAAAACACAAATCGGCTCCAATTCGACTCTTGCGAGGAACGCCAACTGGATCGTCTCTATCCGGACTGATATTCTCCTGTTATATTAACGACTTCCCAAAAATATTCAAACACTGCAAATGCGTCCTATATGCAGATGACGCCTGTCTCTACTACTCAGGAAACAACGTCCAAGAGATCCAAGATAAATTAAATGAAGACCTCAATTTACTCTTAATTTGGTGCCATGAAAATGGAATGAAAATAAACATCCCGAAGACAAAGGCCATGCTATTCCGCCCAACAAATATCAAACCAAATCAAAATTTATCCATCAAGATTGATGAATGTGACATTGAGTTAGTAAGTAGCTTCAAATATTTAGGAGTTATTTTACAAGAGAATTTAACATATGAAATGCATTTTAACAAAGTTTGTTCCGAAATGAATGCTAGAATGTACATGATAAATAGAAATAAGCATTCATTTAATACCAAGTGGCTAAGAATATTCACTACGTCACTAATTTTATCATTATTAGATTACTGTATACCAGTCTGGGGAAACTTAACTCAAATTAAATATGATAAGCTCGACAAAATAATGTTAAAATTAGCAAAATTAGTCATCCCTAAAAAGAAAGGTTTGTTAAATGAAAAGAATGATATATTTGAGAAAACGAATTGGTTAGCCTCTGAAGAGAGATATATCCTGTATAGTTTAGAGTACGTATACAAACATGTAATAAGTAGTACCAAGACACTTCATCATCAAATAGAGAAGAAAGAAATTGACAACCAAGTGCGAACGACAAGAACCTCCAACAATCTCATATTGCCACGACTAAAAACCGTATTTGGACAAAAAGCGTTCTTTTATACGGTAATCAAGCAATGGAACAAACTTCCACAAGAAATTCAAACGCTAAAAAGCACTCCAGAATTTGACACAGCACTCAGACAGTACTTAATTTTACAACGTCGTGACAATTATATATTTTACTAAATACTATCTAATGACAAAGAATGTAACAATACATGCAATAATATGAATTTGAATAGAAATAGATATTTTCATATATTTTATCAACTAGTTAGTGTGACCTAGTACTGGAAACAATGTGTATCACAACATATTATGTACTTCTGTCACTTGAATAAACACTGAATTGAATTGAATTGACGGAATCCATAATTTCATTGTAAGCTGCCTCTTCAACACTACTTTCCTCAGGTTCTGAATCCCAAAAATCGTACGTAAATTGTATCTCTTAAAAATACAGAAAAGTTACATTATTTGAATGAATCTTCATTAAATTCGCGTACATAAAACTATTTAGACAGCCTTTTTGGATTACCTGAAAAATCAAAGACTGACATTCTTTGGTAAAGGTTAAAATGGCAGCTTGCACGTGTGACAATACACTTATCTATTTTTTAATAGGCGCTGTTACCGAGGGTAATTATACGTAATTCTAATACTGTAGTGATATGTTTATTATCGTCAGTATAAAATTTATTGACGGCATGATAATAATTGCGGCGGACGAGTATACAATACAGGGTAACAAATTTGTTCGTGGCGATACAAAATTACTACCATGGAAGTAGAGTCACCTATGAATATATACCATATATATTAGTCACCTATAGTGACTTATATATTAGTAGTTACCGTCAGTGAGATCTCTTATTACACTCTTAACAAAGTTGTGTAAAGATGTAGTGTATACTTGACTCCACCAAATTGTGATAATATTTTCCCCGTACGGAGACTATCTTTCCCCACATTGTGACAAGTTGTCACTAGCTTGTGCAAAAAAAACTCTATTCGGTGTTATACATTATCACAATTTGAGGGCGTCAAGTATACACTACATTCGGGGACGATTAACACCACTTTGCTAAGAGTGTACTGGCTAATTTTGATTCTAGATGACCCTCCAATGCGTTAATATTACTCCAGGTGAGGTACAGGTTCTCCAATTCCAGGGGCACAAATGTGCAGAGGTATTTGCACATTATTTGTTTTGCGATATCAGGCGACAAATCAACCCGAACGATACTTTATCAATCACCTGCCAACGACAGCTTATCACCACTTCATAACTTCTGAGATATATGTGAGGCGAAATGAACGAAGTATATAAAAAATCTCCATCGTAAGAGAGAAATGCTAGACGCCGAGAGAAAAACCCAACTTTCATACGCGTCCACCACCACTGTATGAAAGAGCCGTATCTGTGTCACCCTGTTGCATACCACCACAAAATCATTTTTATAAATTTTGATAAGCTTAAATTTTAATTTTAGGGTGACTTGATTATAAAAAATCGCTTATCTTAAGAAATGATAAGCATGTTGATAAGCACTTTAGCGCTTCTTTTCAGTTAGAAATCGTCATCTTAAATTAAGATAACTTCAAATATCAATCTTGGGGCAATTCGATTAAAAAATTCGCTTATCTAAAAAATTTCAAACTTGTTGATAAGCCCCTTACATATGTCAATGTGCTTATCTGAGAAATTGATAAGTCGGCTGATAAGCTTCATAGCGTGATCTTCCGAGTTGAAACCGTCGTTGTAAATTGTGCAAAGCTTAAGTTCTGAATTTGGGACGATTTGGATAAGCTGTGCGCTTATCTGAAAAATTGATAAGTCGGCTGATAAGCTTCATAGCGTGATTTTTCGAGTTGCAACCGTCATTATAAATTTTAGAAAGCTTAAGTTTTGAATTTGGGACGATTTGGATAAGCTGTGCGCTTATCTGAAAAATTGATAAGTCGGCTGATAACCCCGTTAGCTCTAATTTTCAAGTGCACATCAGCATTATAAATTAAGATAAGCTTTTGTTTTTAATTTAGGCCAACGTTTTCGAAATTTTTTGTGGTTTTACTAACGAACAAACCGTGTACAATATATCTAAATATTTTATTACTAGCAATAGATTTGCTACGGCTCTCGCTAAATAAGGCCCCACCCCCAGAAACTTTGACCTCAAAAATCTCATGGATACGTGACTTTGTCGTCGGTAAACAAAAGGTCAAAATGTAGCTCTTTGCAAGTAGAAAAATCTGGCATCAGTTTGTCATACGGCAAAGTCACGTATCCATGAGATTTTTTATGATTTGTATGTATGGGCCACACCCTTAAACTTTCGAATTTTGAAACTTTCAATGCATCAAAATGTTCGTCTTCACGGGGGGATTCGATTAGCAAATACAAATTGGGGTCTAATTCTTGTTTTAACAAGTGTGCATTGAAGTTTTCAAATTTTCAAATTTCCTTCTCCAATTTTTGGTGGGGGGGGGTGGTTGAAAATAATTAAAAAATAACTACACCATCTTAATCATTGAACTCGGAATTTCATTTGATATTATTTTTATCAAATTCGGTGAGATCGATGCGACAAGGATTTATATACTACATTCATTTCGCCTCATGTATATTTTCAGAATAATGTACCTATGTATATTATAAACCAGACATACACTGGCAGCAATCGTGTAACGCTTGATAACTGAGAAGTCAGCCACGTTTTAGTTTGCATAAACATGTGCGGATTCTCATAATTTGTGATGCTAAGATACACACACACAGATATGTATGGTATATGTATCTTATATGTATGGATTTTCTCTTAAATTCTCGTGATGAAGAGAACGGTAAGTTGATCGCTTAGTATAAGCTCACTACTACTACTACTCATACAGCACTTGATCAACTACATATCACATAACCTCTGATTTTAAGTTACTCAAGCTTCAGACCTGTTTATTGACTGCATCCCCATCATCTACATATTAATTCGTCCCCTTGTTCTCTTACTTGGGGCTGGTTCTTCCTACCCAAACAAATAAAACACTACCAGTACCTGTGTTTACTTTCTGCCACAGGTTGCCGTCACTAACTCTTGATTTTATGGCGATGAACCGGTTTGAAATAAACTACTTACGTGAGATGGATACCGTTCACGTAAGGTACATTTCTATAACGGATATAAAATCCTGTCAGTCCCGATTTCATTCACACAACTAGCCCAGGGTCGATTGAAGTCAAAGTTTCTTAAAACCGTTAAATTTTAAAAACACAATGAACAAAAATCTGCTAATTTTGTTGGTCTTGGTTCTAAGTGATCTTTCCTGTCCCACTTTTGTCAAGCCGGGCCCTTTCCTCGACTCAACGCTTGCCAAAGGTCTCTGGGTTTCTAATAAAGACAGAATTGAACCTCCTCACTCCCTCTTTGAGGGAGGATGGGTGTGGACTGCGTCCGATAATTTGCAACTGACTTATATCTGTCGTGCCAAAATAGACGTTTCGAACGACGTGAGTATAATGCCGGGAGAGTTGTTGAACGAGACCTGCTACGTGTCGGGAAATCCATCTGGGGCCTCAGTACTAGGCGTGAGGGCCTTTAAAGAGTATGAAGTCCTTCTCAAGACGGAGGACGAAGTGTATGAATGGACCGATTTTGACGGGAAAGAAGGCACTGTGGCTAATGGCGCGATTATCGGGGGGATTGGGTCGCACTATGAGCCAATCTTGGTAGGTTTATAGGATTTTATGAAAATTATCAATTTAATTTTTTTACTACTACTTCTATCCGTGAGGATTAATGAAAATTTATGAATGAAACAAATACGTAAATTCAAAATATTGCCAAAAATTGTTATCCAGCCGGGAATTGAACCTAGGCTCTCTCGATTGCACGTCGAGTGCTCTGACCACTGAGCTACTAGGGCAATGTCTAACAATATAGGAAATTGAATTGAATTTTAATTTATTTAAATTTAATTTAATTGATAATTTAAATCACTAATTTTTAAGGTTTGCCGGAAATTCTTGAACGGAACGGGACACGATATTGGCAAGTCTAAGGCAGTCTTGGGGCAATTTTCTCCAGAGAAAGGGGTGTGTTTTTATGAAGTGGAGGTTAACCTGTCAGACTGGATTAAATGGGATGTTAGTTTGGCCACGGAAAAATTTCAACTTCTTATTTTACGGGTATACATAATATCAACCAAATTGAATTTGATATGGCAAGTTATACTCAATTTTAATAGTGTTTCCTACCTGTAGGCTAGAGGAAAGGAACAGTGTGCTGTTGAAAACAAAACCTAAATGGTAGCACTAGTTGGGAAACGAATTAATCACAAAGTTGATACTGTGACTTGCAAAATCTAACTTGGTATATTATTCTCCGACAGTTCCCTACTCTATATAAATAATTGTACATAGGTGTTAGCTAAAAGTGCAAATTACTTTAACCAGAAAGATCAAATTCGAACTTTAAAATTTAAATAGGATATTTTGTATCTGATAAATATCGTACAAGAGTGCTATAGCACTCTTGTACGATAGTTTAAACTAAAATAAAATAGTTTAAACTATTTTAACAATGTTGGCGAGTTGTGCGTACATTTAGAAAGTTTTATAACTAAAGGGATAAAATCTTGATGAAATAACGGAATCTAGATATGGTGTTATATGTATTGAGGGTTTTCACGGTTTCGTTAGTAACCAATATTTTTGCAAGCTAAAAAGACGCTCTTGATCGGAGTATAGTTTACAGAAGTTTGTAACCAAATATTCGTTAGAAATGATTTAAAATTTTGTAAAAGTTTATAAGCTACAGAATTCACAGTGTTTGCGTTGTTACCAACGACGCCGTGAAATACCCCATTATATTTTGTTTGGTGAATGTAAGTACATTTAATAATGGTACGGCTATTACTGTGTTGACTCTTATTTCGTATTGGAGACATTATTGGTTGTCGTTGTTTTATATTTCACTAGTTTTTACCAGGGTTGCAGAAATCTCATCTCATTTGAGAATTATGAGAAATATGAGATATATCCTAACCAACGACAACAAAACTACATAAAAATTGGGCAATTCGATTTATTCACTAATAATTTCAAGTCGAGTAAATTGTTTCAACACTTTTCCTTAGGTTAGTCTGTGGTTACGAAAAAGACACCGATGTATGCACTCAGTAGGGTTCAAAAAATTGACGATAGCCAATAACTTTACCATACCTCAAGCAATTTTGATAGCATATTTTGATTGCATATTTTTGATTTTGAAGTAAGCGCCCAGAGTTATTTGTAATGATGTAAATTCCAAATCTTGTACTTTCCATCAGTATTTATTGACCACGGTTATAGAATTTTGAAAGATAGTTTATTTAATGGTCTCGTATAATTTTGATATTTTTTAAGTGCATCCTTGATTAAAAAATGATATATCCTTGCCAATGCTTTTGTCTAGTATGGTTGAAGTGTGACTGTAATTGTAGTTGATCTGGTCGAGTCGAAAGCGGTAAGTTGGATTTTGTGATTGTACAACTCTTGCTTCGTTCTATTTGTTCGAAGCGTAAGCTGAAATCTGTACAATATATATTTCATAATAAAATTCAATAATATTTCAAATTTATGTTTGCCTCGTTTTATTCAGATATATAAATATTTCAAATTACCCCATAAATCCAACTCCCCAAATAGGAGATGTGTATAGACCGATGGGAAGGGAACTGCTTATTGTGACATCTTGTACACAGTTGTCGTCAATGTCGCCATCCGTGACAGATATTCCGGTCTGAATCTCGAGGAATTGCCCGTCAATTGTCTGCTTGTATGGGAAGCTGTTATCTCTGATAAATGTTGGCTAAGAAATAGATAAACTTGTTAGAGATAGAAGTTTCCAGGCAGGGTTGCAAGTGATATATATCACCAAGTGAGATTTAATGATATATATCAATCATCTCAGTTGGGCCTGAGTGAGATAAATGAGAAATAACGAGATTAGTGGCGCCATCTAGTGGAAATAGTAAAGTACTATTAGTAGTGCATTACGTTATCAGCCAGGTGGCGTCCATAAATCTCACTATATCTCATATTTCACATTAATCTCATTATTTCTCAGTAATCTCACTATTTCTCACTGAGATGAGATTTGTGCAGGTGAGATGAGATTTCAGCAACCATGTTTCCAGGTAGTTGAAACTAAGGGATGATAATCCTATGAGAGAAATTATATCTAATTACTTGAGGCAAACTTGCCTCAAACTAATAAAAATGACACTCAGACTGCCTTTAACACTCAAATTTTCCAATTCGTCCTACTCTCGACAATTACAAAGTTTATAATATTTCCAGGTATCTTTTACCAACTTGTAAACTGTTTAAGGGATAAATAATTTTAATTAATTACTTATAACTTAACAAATTTCACCACCATTATAATTGAAAAGTATCCTCTTTTTTTAATTTAGTTTTTGAGGTAATTGGTGTTAAACTTGTCAACAAAGTTTAATTAAACATTGTCAAAGTAACTTTATAGCTACGAATACAGATAAGTATGTTGCGATAAATTTGTAAAGAATTGGAAATTATGACCACTTACTTTGTGATTATTTTCATCAGTTATACCAAAACTGAAGACGAAAGTCTTAACGGTTCCGTTTGTGAATGTAATGTTCATCTTTCTCTCTAACCAATCAGTTCTTTCCGTTGCAATAAAAGTGTTGAAAAGCGAAGTCGAAAAGAAATTAAGTCGACCGGGGGATGACGCAGTTTCCAGGTAGGCATCGTGCGGACCAGGAACCAATTTGTCTGAACCTTCTTGCATCCCATCCACAGTGACTGTGCTGTAAATCAAAATATAATTATTAAATTGAATATTTTGAACCAGGGTTGCACGTGATATATATAACCAAGTGAGATTTAATAAGATTTAATGATATATATCAATCATCTCTATTGGGCCTGAGTGAGATAAATGAGAAATAGTGAGATAAGTGGCGCCATCGAGTGGTAATAGTAAAGTACTATTAGTAGTGCATCACGTTATCCGCTAGGTGGCGCCCATAAATCTCACTATTTCTCATATTTCTCATTAATCTCATTATTTCTCTGTAATCTCACTATTTCTCACTGAGATGAGATTTGTGAAGGTAAGATGAGATTTCTGCAACCCTGTTACGGCTCTATACATACCCCAAAATAGCTCCAGTGGGTTGGATTTCTGGCACTTGGGCAACAAATATTTTTATCGGTCCAGGAACAATGGTGTAATCTTAAAAAAATAAATATTATTCATCAATTAGTTCTAAGATGTTAGTAATTAATCACAAATAGAAATTATCTCATTTTATCCTAGATTCATTTACTTACTCCTTTGCCCACTGATTCCCGATAGATAAAAAATAATAATTCCAATGGAAATTAATACCCTCATTATAAGTGTTTGTGACTTTTTGTTCTGCTGAGGTTTATTGGAGGCGAGTAATTATTAAGTGTAACACATTTTCGAGGGGGAAACATATTTATACTGTGCTTTAGGAATATTAAACCCACGTCATTCTGTATTGGGCGGTAGATTGTGGCATCAAATTTGGTTTAAGTCCATCAATAAATAAATTCTTGGATTAGGTTGTAAATTGAATAACTTGATAATAAGTGGGGACAATTCTCGGTAAAAGATTTGCAATGTTTTATGATAATTTTGGCATAATTTTTTTAGGGTTTGATCTCGTAATTCGTGTTGAATAGGTTTGGGATGGTCGGTTTAATTTTTATGGTTTCCAAGTATTGCTGACACTTAAATATTTAAAACTAGGTCGAAGCGAAAGATTTTATTGCTTGGTATTATTTAATAGGGATAATTGATGTAATTTTGGGATTGACTTGAATTGGTAGAGCCGTTAATCCTTTACTTCGACGTGCATAACTGGACCTTGACTCGAGGCCTAGTACTAATCGGGATAATTTGCTTCAATTAGGTCACACCCTAATATAAATGGCTTTCCGAAATGAGTGTGTAGGACAATAGTGAATATGTGTCGCAATAAAAGTTGATTTAACACAGCAGGAGGGCAATATACACCTGGAAAGAATTTTTATGAGGTTTTATCAGCGCGCAAGTGAAATTAAGGCAATCATCCGTCAAGTCCCTCAATTAATTTGATTATTAAAATCCTATCAGTTCAGCTTCGCGGAGCCCGATTCAGGGTTTGGAATATAAATTTTATAATTTGACTTCATATTACTAGTTTTTACAGTCGTCGGAACTACCATACTGAATTTCAGCTCGATTGGACGATTTAAAAGAATCGGTATGGGTTTTTATCACCCAATACAGTATATTCATTAATATGTATGTTTTCTGTTCTTATTTCACAGATTACCATAAGGGCACCAAAAAGTATACTTGGCGTGGGTCTTATCCAGGGTTGCAGAAATCTCATCTCATTGAGAAATAGTGAGATTACTGAGAAATATGAGAAATAGTGAGATTTATGGGAGCCATCTAGTGGATAACGTAATGCACTACTAATAGTAGTTTACTATTACCACTGGATGGCGCCACTAATCTCACTATTTCTCATTTATCTCACTCAGGCCCAAATGAGATGATTGATATATATCATTAAATCCCATTAAATCTCACTTGCTGATATATATCACTTGCAACCCTGGTCTTATCGTATGCCTTCGTGTAATAACCGCTTACCTCCTGCTGTCCGACTAGCACAAACAACTTATATGTACCTAAGAATCGTATATATGCACCTATGAATATTTTATGAGTCGATTGTCTACATGATTTGCTGGATTGATTTTTTCCCACGATAAACTCCGACAAGGAGTAACACTCTACAAGGGTTGCGCCCATCAAACAAAGTATCTGGTAACGTTTTGTAAAAATTTTCAGAAACTTAATGTAAAAAACATAAAACTATTCAACGTCCAAACTTAGGTGCCCAAAAACAATGTTCCAAATGCCACGTTTTTCGCCATGTTTCTAATCTAAAACAATTCTCGTGCAAAAATATAAAAAAAGAAACAGACAAATGTGTCTATCAAAGTGCATTTTACGCTAATGAATGTACTCTAAATGACTCTTCGTTTAAATAAATGTTTCCGCCAGGATCACATATTTTTAAAAACCTTTATTTTTATGTACCTTGCATCAATCTCGGGAATTCAAATCGTTTCGGGCTCTAATCAGCCACCTATTGATATGAACACGTTGTTTTTTATAGCCTGTAATTTGTCCTCCCATCTTGGCAATTTCATTCAACTGCTCTCTGCAGAGTTTAATTTCCTCTTCGGACATGACTTTAATAAGAACGGTTCCAATCGTGGTGACGGAATGAAGCCCAATTGCAGCACCAGTCATTATTTGAACATCCGTGGAGGCCAATCCAACCCCGGTGTAAAATTGGTACGAGTTTATTACGAGTTTCGCGAAATTTTCGATTATATCCACTGTCATTGCGGCCGAGTCGGTTAATAAAACCTGGCGCTTGCCGTTAATATCAACCTCAAGTTTTCCTAAATAAAAAAATATAGATTCAGGGCAGCTCATTAATTTGTTTGCTGAGCGAATTCAGCAAAGTCATATAATCTAGACGTTTAAATTTGTGGCATTCGGATCACGATTAGTTAACTACTTGTTCAACTAGGGTAACCTGAGTTAGGTCGGTTTTAGTTTCTGAAGACGTATCTTCAACATGATGCGAAAAAAATAAGCATACAATAATGCCAAACAATATTGTAAAAGATTAATCATAAAAGATCATAAAAATACCAGATGTTTTAAAAAGACGTGGCTTATTTGAAATTTTTGATGTGTTCTGGTGGCAATTTTAAGTTCCTAATTTATTATAAAAATTTGTGGACACTGGTGTTTGTCGACAAACTACGCAATAATAGTTTAAAATATAACTGTTGAAAATAGTTTTTAAGGTTACACTCTTGAAGAAAATAGTTGTCAAAAATTAATCGTATTTTGTCAATGACTGCTTGGCTAAACGTTTAAATATTGAATGTTGTTTAAAATAATAGAAAAAACTTGCCAATTTCATCCTTCGTGATGTCGATTAATTCAATTAAGTCGAGGGAATGTAGTTCCAAATTATAAAGAATTGTCTGCTTTTCTTTAGAATTTGTTTTGGTGCTACCGCTGTCAAATTTTTTCATCATGTTGGCCTCCTCCGATACCATTTTCAGAATTTCAGCCATATTTTTGGAAATCTTGGCTCTCACTTTTTCCTCTATAAGACAGTTTCTCGCGTCCTTGATATGGTCCCATATCGTATAAATTTTGAGGCCTTGCACAATTCCTGCCAATGCAGAAGATATAGTACACGCGGTCAAGAATGAATTTGCCATATTGGTTTCTGCTTGTTCAAGTTTTTCGTGAACAAGTTTAATTGTGGCGGCCTCAGAATGCACGTGTTTCTTGATTTTTTCCTGTGTTTCGTTATCTAACAGAAATAAACACGTTTGGACATAGGTAAAAAAGCTGAAATAATTTTAAGGCACGTCCATAATTTTTTTTAAGTATCAAGGTTTCAAGGGCAGCTGATGACAATGTGAAAAACAAATTGCGGATAGTGTGTTGAAGAAATTAACAATTAAAGGACATACCACATTGGGTTTGAATTGTGAAAAATACCAAAAAATTGGGAAAGGTCGTGTTTCCCGCAGTGTTCCCAAATATGAGCGGCCGAGGAGGGGTTTGGTTTTCCTTGCCAGAACTGTTCCAGAATATAAATCATTAGTGGAAATAGGGATTTTTAAAGATTTATATACCATATCACGTATCAAATGGAAAACCTACTAAGCCGAGACACAATAGTTGTTTACATTTCAGCTAAAAGAATACAGGGCATGATGAACTAATCAAGCGATAAGGCATGCATGACCTCTTAAACTGTAATCAGAAGTACCAATTCAGTTTCGCTTTCTATCTAATTACAAGGAATCTAGGTAATTTACTGTTAAAATATAAATTATTTCCCCCTCAAGGAAGTTGCGTACTACAAATTAATTAAATAATCTAGTCGTTCTATTTATTGTGGTAAAATTGTTCTCACCCATCGAATCCCCTTAGACCAGGAATCCACTTCCGAGTTTAACATAACTCGCAGTTCCTCCATGCTAGCTCGGACCGTATCAAATTTCATAGCCTTACCTAAGCACTCCATAAGTGTTGGTCGGCTTGATTTTAAAATATCGGAAAGCATATCCCTCGCGTCAGGGAGTAAGTTCTGAGTTAATTAAATATTAGCGATTTCCGGGTAATAAATTGCGTGTAAATATTTCCTCACCCATAATAAATCCATTACTTCGCTACTCTCCGACAGATTACTAATCTCTGTCAAGTTTTCTGCCATTATTGCTGCGAACTGAGAATTACATTATTAAATTAGTTATTTATCGTTTGAGTAATTTTTTCAAAGGGAGCTTAAAATTAATTCCATACTTATGATTTATTTAGTGGAAGTGCAGTTATTTGAAGTAAGAAATGAAGAAAATTTAGTATGCGCCAGACCTGGGAAGAAATACGACTGAGATGAGAAGAGAGGAAACTGACCAGTTAAATTGCAATTTAGCCAAGCGATTAATTATACGGGTCCGGCTTTTGAGTCATTGATATGATTCACGACAGATATGGCTGGCAAATAAATCCCATTTAATGAATTGAACCAAATGTGTTTGATCGGTCGTTTCACCACCAAATCCCATAAACCATAATTTGTGCTCCTGTCATGATGAATAGTTTCGGCAAAGCGGTGATTTAGCTCTCTGTGTAAAACTGGTTAGCGATTAAGTAAAACATTCATACTGGGAAATTGTCTTATTAACAGGGTAGGTTAAAAATGGCAGGCATTACTCATCCATCCCAGGAAATTACCAACCTGAATCAGCATGGAAATATATTTCGACATATTCACTATATCCAAATTATCACGCGTGACTAATATTATCGTCATGATATGTATATATCGTCCCCATGAATGATGTTCCCCATTAGAATGACAGTGAAAATACATGATGTTGTTTAAAGCGAATATCTGTCTTCAGCCTTTTATCGTTGCCAACTTGGTTGAACTGGTTTGTGAGTCAAGATGCTGAGGATCAGGGTCCAATCAACAAATGTTTGACGTTGTCCAGTGGATTTAGTGTTACGGTATGAATCGGTCATGCATCGTAGCACTTACCAATTACATTCATGGTTGGAGATATCGGTTGACATGATGTTCATCATTGAGCAGTATGTACTTGCAAGTACAAAAATCTTACTATATTGATGACGTTATGTAACTCCTTGGGCCCTGGTCCGCAAGAGTTAAGTAAATAAACATACAAACAGCATACATACTTGTCAGTATAAGGCTGAATGGGTTTCATGTTATTTCTGCAAAATACTGATTGTGAGTCATATATATGCCATATATGCAAGACTTATATAGATATGTGGATACCAATAGGTATTTTACTATGATTTTGATTAAACCAAATTAACTTTAACTTCAGATGAGAACGTCTGGATAAGGTTTTTTTGACTCAACTATTTGTTTTATTTCAAATTGGATGACCTTAGTTGTTTTACTTGCTTCTGGTGTGTAAAAAATACGATTTTAATGAAAATTATAATAGAAAAGTGAAGATTTTCGGGCAAAACACAAGCTTTAACTTGATCTTTAAGTTGTCGGTGACGTAAGGTAAGATAAGATAATGGGTGCATGCATCTGAATAAGATGAATATACATGTGACATGTAGGAGAATGATAAATTCCACACCATTTCCACACCATTGTAACTTAGAACTTTTTAAATTACGCATCGGTTTCACCTAGGACTTTTTAAAATTAGGAAGACAACTTGCAATTCACTCTTGATTGTGAAATAAATTTTCAAGATTTTTAGAGTTATTTATACATTACAATACAATATTCAATAGAAACCTAACATTTAAGTAATTAAATAATAAAATATTGTTTTTAGTTAAAAATAAACAAATATCATAAATATTATGTATAAATATGAATTTCTTTAACAGGTTGAATACAAATAGTTACTGTTTCAAGCTTCGTAATTGATCACTTATTTTCATCGTGAAATGGTTTTCAAACCAGTTTTAAATTTAAGTCGACATTTACCAATTTTTTTCTAAAGCATAAATATTATCTACAAACTTTACATCCAATTTATTTTCCTTAATAAAATCCGACATTTGAACAGCTGAGGTTAGTCTGGTCTGTAACAAATAAAGGGTCAAACCCAACGCAATTTTAATTTTTTCAGAACTTTACAAGGTTTCAGTTTTAGAGAAGAGTATTGCAATAGACAAAAAATAAAATTGAAGGCAAAGCTACATACCTCAAACCCATCAAAGGTTAAATTGGGTTGCCAGGTTTTGAAAGCATTCCGGTATTTGATGCATGCTGGATCACTACGGAAGGCGGAATTATAATGAGCTCGGTTTATTACGGTCACGCTGGTATGCCCTGAGTAAAAAAATAAAAAGTTTTTTTATTTAGGAAACTTGTAGGAAAAATCGTCAAAGGATCAGGACATGAAATACAAGATTTCTGGGACAAATTTCTATTGTCAATGTTTTAGACTTAGATTCTAGATTTTAGACTTGGACCTTGGATTCTAAAATGTTCTGTAATTTTCGAATATTCACTACTTTAATACTTATTTCATTAATTGTTACAACGTTTTTTTCTTACACTCACTCTCCACAAGGTGACATCCATCCGTAATATCCATAACGTCCATTAAGTCAGAAAAGGAAGTCCTCAAATTCAAATCGATCGTCAATCGCGACACGTGTGAAGGACAATAGTGCAAATTCCTGAAGAACTGTTTCACATGGTCCCACTCCACTGCATTATTGCTCCTATCCAACCCTCCTAACTTTGTAAGTTTCAAATGCCTCAAGTTCGGGAAAGCTTGCCATATTTTTGTCAAACTTGGACTTGATGAATCGTCGGTGGCTCGGAGTTGGAGGACCTCGATTTCCTGGACTGTCCAAATTTGACGAGTTGGGAGGCATGGTAAAAAAAAGTTGAAACTGGATACCTCGTCGTAAATATCTTTACTGGTTGCATTAAGCTTGAGACGTTTCAAACCAGGTAGTTGGGCCAAGGTTAGGTTTGGTAAGGCGAAATCAAGCGCCTCCGCCGATGGCAAGGATAAGCTTGTGAGTTTACTCAATACGGGTAGAGTGGAAGGATCGATCTGATAAAATGCCAGTATACTTATCCATTAGTTTTATGAGCCCAGGGATTAATGTATATTTGTAACGAACTAACCAGAATTCTTGGTATGGGGTATTCTTCGGCATCGTACCGAGCAAGTATCCCGACGGTGAGATCCTCCAATGTGGTGGAAATTTTAGTAAGCATACACACAAAGTTTTGTATGTCAAACTTTTCGCATATAGTTCTAGAAAAAACAGACTAAATTAAGGGTATCTTACATACGAGAATGTAACTTATAAAGCAAACTTCAAGAATATAATTTGTCACATTCTGATAATTACAGATATTTATAAGGACCAGTTGCTAATAAATTTGATACCTGTCGGAAGAATCAAGTGTTATGCATAGTGTAACCTAATTCTTAAAAGTACCACCGACTTACACTTGATCAAATGGCGACATCTTCTCTTTATACGGATAATAAAGCCATTCCAAGCATTTCAATATCCTACAGCTGGACAAGTCCGGGGTAAAGTTGTCATGAATGATTAATTTTTCCAAGTTCCGCGCTACTTTCAAAATTTGTGTTGTCATATCTCGATAAATTGACCCAATCCCGTCCGATTGCCGGATACTGCTTCGAATCATGAATTCTTTCAGGGTTGAGAAATCATTGGAAATTTGGAATTCTACGTTTTTAAATGTTCCGCCAGGGTATTGGGTTGTATCTTGGACTTTTATATGGATCTTGGCAATACTTGTGAAGCGCACCGACTCAAATAATGCCTTCATCGCAGGCCCGAAATTGTAATTGATATGAAAGTAAAACTCTTTTATGTGAGATTGATATTTCAAAACGAAATGGACGAAACGAAAAGGACATGTAATTTCTTGAATATCTGTGTCATTCTCATCCGGGTGGTAAAGAGATTGCAAGTAAACTCGTCGTAAAAGCTGAACTGCTAGGGAAAGATTTGAATTTCCCGGGGCGTAGACTGGATTGTGGTTTTGGAATGAGAAAACCGTCCGTTTTCCGAGAATTAGATTAGCTACGGGTTCCCAAACGGATGATACTTTTCTGACCTCCTTAACCTGGTTGGCTGGCAAAAGCGTGATTATTTCGCGCAGAATCTAAAAATTTTTGATGAGATTTAGCACATTCAGAAATACGAATTACTCAAATCCTGATATGTTGTTATGCCGTATAACTTACCACCGTATTTTCCAGAGCCTTTGAGACAGAATTTGTACTTTCAGTAAGTAGCGACATGATAGAATTTTATGGAGTGTCAAATACTTAAACTTTGAGTAACTGTAAAATCCCAATGACTTTCAATTGTAGACTGATTCAGGCACAGCACTTTCTTCGAACTGATTGTTGGTAAGGTCTCCCAACATTGTATTTAGTACCTTTCTAAGAATAACCATTAAAATATGAGTACTAGGCTCTTAGGAATTTATCAGTAAAGAATACAATATATAAGCCCTTAATTTCTTGTCCATGCCTTGCATCAAAATACATTTGTAGTATGTGTCGGATAAAAATATACTTATATGGTACAGGAGAAAATGCTTAAACAGGAAAATATTCAGGTTGAAATCCCGCAGAGCAAGTTCGGTTAGCCACGATTGTTATTTCGAGTCAAAGTATTGTGAGTTGTTAAGTTGATGGTCAACTTTACTAAGTTTAAGTCAAAAATTCTCCGGCTTTGGGATTAAGCCTTAATTTAGGAGTCATACGGTATAAGGGTTTTGGTCCGTGGTCTATTTTTATAATTAGACCCTTTTTCTATAGAAGATAATAGTGTATGTATTTGCATACGAAAAAGAGTTACTTATAAAACACAAATTATACATAGTAATCCACATGCAGCATTGCATCGTTATGGTCTCAGTCATTGGATGATGATAACATTGTCCACATTTTGTAGTTAGACCCAGTTTTGTATGTATGTACGTGGCTTCTTGTAGGCATTTTTCCTAGGAAAAAGGTCTAAATATAAAAACAAACCGCAAGTAAATAAAACGAAAATAATGTTTACCAAATCTACAAAGGATGTGATTTTTAAAAAGCTTAATGTGTTCTTGAAGCGACACAAGATTATTCACAAATTATCCATAAGGAGTTCGTCGTAGGAACTCGGGAATATAAACTCCCAGTTCCTTGATTTACGTATTAATGTGACAACGGTAGTCTGGTTGTATTCCTTTATTTTTACTTAGCCCAATTTAAAATTGTATTGCTTGATATTTGATTATTGGCAGGTGTGGAATGCCTACATACAGGAACCGGTATGTTTCGTTTTTAATATTATCAAAACATCCTTCCAATACAGAGCGTCTGTTAAGTATGTGGTTAAACCAAGGGTTGCAGAAATCTCATCTCACCTTCACAAATCTCATCTCAGTGAGAAATAGTGAGATTAATGAGAAATACGAGAAATAGTGAGATTAGTGGTCGCCACCTAGCGGATAACATAATTCACTACTAATAGTACTTTACTATTACCACTAGATGGCGCCACTAAGCTACATTTGCCACAGAACTAGTTTTAGCCCTACGTAGGGTGGAACTGAAAGTCTGGGAAAAATTGTTCTCGTCCGTCTTCCCCTCGCTATGTTTTGAAAAATTGTAAGTCGCGTCCTTTTTCTTGTTGTCCTCACCAAAATCATGGTCAATGTCCACATACATGTCAGTTTCTGGTTCCTCAGTTTCTATATTACATATTTAAATGCTATATATTTAGTAATAAATTTAGAGCCGTAAATCATTTCGAATAAATGAAAACACATGTGTAACGATTTACTAAATCCAAGGATCGATGACATAGGTCTTCTTCTGATGCTGATGGGTGTCCACTTTTGTTTCCGGTTCTGGGCCCTCTTGCTGGTGCAGTTGGTCTTGGTTTTTTCACCGATCGTCGAACCCACGTAGGAGGACGGCGCCTTCTTTTTGCCCTGGGAACGCCGAGGTTCCTCCTTAAGTGGGTGAAGAATTGCAGAGGGGTCAGTGATATCGTGGACCTTATCATCAGCACGGTCCCCTTTTTCAGTCAATAAATATAATGAAATACGTAATTGATAAATGTTGGTGTTAACCTGGGGCTGAAATTGGAGCCGTATTTGGACTCCATACCATGAATTACCATAAATTATCCATACCGTCGTTACTCGTAGGTTGTGATGAACTTGTAGACGGAGTGGAGATGACCACATTTTCTTCGCCGTTCTAAGCTGCAAAATTTTCTAGAGTTTCGCCCCCAGGATGCAACTCCACCCCAAGAAGGATCTGATTTATTCCAGATGGTACGATGGCACATCTCGGATTGTGATTTGTGGTGCCGGTTAGAATTGAGGATAGTAAATGCCCTTCGCAGGGACGAGATTGGTTTTCATTTTGCAGCAATTCGTCCATCTCTCTTCCGTGGTTGGTTTCCGGTACTGCGTAGTTTTATTAAGTTTAGTAATTCGATAGTTAAATAAATTATCATTCTAATAAAAAAATCCGAACTTTCCTCATCCAACGACAAGATTTTCGCCATAGCAGCGACTCCCCCTTGAACCTTTCGAAACCGGCGGTCATACATTTTCTCTTGAATTTGGAACAATGTCTGCAATTTCTCCATCAATTCCTTCACTACCTCCAAATCTTTCGACCGACTGGATGAAATCTTATTCTTGCCGTCCTCCCATTGTTCAGATAAGTCGGAATGTTTCTTCCCCAGCTGAACCACCTTGCCGTCCAAGGAACTAATGATTCGCAAAGTCTCGAAATTTCTTTTGTATATGCACCTCCCCCAATTCCTATTTTTTTAAAATTTAATTCCTCCAATTTCCCCTCGAGCTGGATAACCTTGTCGTAGAAGCTGCTTATCTGAGTTGTAAATCAGGTAAGCGACTGTTGGAGACTTGTCATTTGGTCTAGTTCACTAAGTCGTTTGGCGAATTCTTTGTCTAGTGGAACTATACACATCTGTCCAGATTGAGTATAGGGAAATTTCACTTAAAGTCATACCACCGCGAAGGTGGTGGTTGATGGAATTGTTGGCTGATTCCAGCCAACTCAGTGCTTTCTTATGGTAGGTATGATTTTAAGTTAAGTTTCCCTATACTTAATCTGGACAGATGAGTATAGTTCCACTAGACACGTGAATTCTGCTGGAATAAAGCCGGTAACTTTTCCGCGATGACCTCCACCGCCTTTTGTTCCTATTCGGGGTTGATGAGGTCCATCTTGAACTAAAATGTTGTCTTAAATAATCAATCTAATAATCACGTAGATCAATTATTTACTTTTATTCACTACTAATGAAAATGAACAATCCGGGAGAATTAATTTGCAGAGATTGTGACGTGCAGATTTTTTGCCAGGTGATTTTGCATTTGCATTTTGAATTACAAAATGTGAACGATAGTAACGACTAAATGCAAATACTAACGGCTACGTATGTAAAATATTTAGTTTTATCTCCATTTTAAACACGGAAATGTATGAATTACGTAAAGATTTAGGTATGTATAAAATTACATAAACAATCAAATTTTTAAATTTGGTGCTTTATTTACATATCTAGTTTAAAAGCTGACAACACAGCCAAGTTATTATGTCGGTGCCAGCAATATTGATAAGATTTACAAGTAATTTTAATTGTAATTAGACAGCTGTATCCATACTGTGAACCATGTTTTCTTCAGATTTACATAAATATTTGTCTACATTTTCAACTTCATTTAGTTAAGCAGAAAATGTTTGCAAGTTATCATAAATATGTACGTATCCTTGAACTTATTCTTATTTTCTTTACAACTGTGTAGGTTTCGCACTATTCCTAGCAACTGTACATGTAAAATATTCATGAAGAGTATTAGATACTAGAGTATTAGACTGCTAGATATAAAGTAAATAAATAAAGTAATAAATCATATATGTAGATACTCATCCGTTTACTGATCTTGGCAATAAAGTCATACGGCCTTAATTATTCGTTTCTAACTTATTGTTTCCTTTTTATTTCTCATTACGCTCACCTATTTATAATATAGCATTAACTAACCTACGAAAACCAAGATTTTCAACCAAGGTAATATAGAAAAAGAACAAAAATATAATATGTCAATTCTCTCATCACCATTTTTCATAAACATTCCACCTTTCCATAAAAATAATTGCATTTAAGAATACTTATCAGAAAAGTAGTTAGATAAATATGTATCTTCAGCGAGATAAAGGACGAAAAATAAACTTATTCAACGACTATGCTTACTTGTTCAGTGGCCATAATAGTTCGATATGGATAGGTTGACCATCGTTAGGAAGGCTACACGGAGGAAGGAGCGGTGGTGTAGAGATGGAGACGCCTTGTTGCACAAATCTCCCTTACATAAACACAATCGAGACACCCTGTTGCGAATTTTGACCTCTGCGCATCGCTCTTCGCCGTCATTCGGTGCCTTGCTGAGAAAAGAACGGTCGGAGGCTGAGCCCTATTCTGTAAGAAACCAGAGTCAAATGTATCAATTCAGGAAACACATAAGTGTGAAGATGGGAATGATGGACATGATGTGGAATAATTTAATTTTACCATTTGCTGGTTCAAGGATCCCTTCCGTCTGTTTGCGACACAAGCCTGAAGGACATGGTGTCACAGAGACCGTTAGCAGATCGTTGATGACCTGTCATTGAAGTTGAATGGATCCTTGCAATCTCTCTGGATCATAGCTGCATACACACATAGCTGCGAGTGGACAACCGACCTGTGGGACAAAAGAACACATTCATTCATAGCCTAAAGCTAACTAAAGTCATCAAAAGAGAGAATATCATTTATTTATTTATACTTATTTAACGTCATATCTCTATTTAGTACCGTCGCATATGGCCAAAGAGAAAAGTATCACAATTAGTAGTCACAGCACTGAGATTCATTTCATCAATTGACCATTACGTTATATGTCTTACTTTCCCAGCACTTGCTTGTTTCTTGGTTGAATTTTGCTCGGATTTTTCTTTTAAGAATAGATGGCTGGTTTGGTTTAAAAATTTAATTTTCTTCAATCTGCCCAGGAGGGTTTCCACATTTCACCAACGGCCAGCAATCCCTTGATTAATATCACCGTCAAACACTCCCTGTACCGAATCTCTTTTCTACAGAATCACAAATTATGCACTTTAGCACACCACAGGAGGTGGTATTCACACGAGTCCACGAATCAATAAACCATAGATTGAATCTTCTTCTTTCCACGCCTGAACTATTTTTGCTGCATCACACAACTATCTGTACATATTTCCTGTGTGACTTGATAGGACAAAATGCCAATTTGTGCGGAAATATTGTTACCACGTCTACAATGTATTCAGTTCCACCATGAAGAAGAAGACAGCTGGAGATTGTCCAACCACCTCAGATAGATGCTTGCACACTCCACAACTTTCACTAAACCCCTGAAACAATGAGGATGTCTTGCCGGTGGCCTCTACCTGTGTTGCATTGTGAAGACTCAACTGGTTTCGCCCAATTCATTGACACAGAATCTCACCACCACACTAGTAAGATGCATGCAGGATGCATCTGTCTATATCCATAAGTTACACATAGTAAATTCGTGGCAAATCTGGTTTATTAAATAGATCCCTATAGAAGAACTTGTAATTTGTTCATGCGTACTTTTTTGTGCTCGTTACGATATTACAAACTCTCAATAACTATGTATCCATATATAATTTAGAATTATATAGATATCAGTAATATAGCCAAATATTATCAGCCAATAGACGAATTTCGAGAAAAATTGCACAGGATTATAAAAAAAATATATTTAAATTTAAAAACTAAAGTTTTTTCTTAGTACGTGCGTATGGCAAGAATGACAGCTAACTTTTGGCATAGAAGGAGTATCTATGAATAGTCACCTTGTACATTTGTATCACCTCATGATGTTGCCTAGATATGCTTCAACAAAGTGGTGACTTTTTACAGACAAGGCTTCCTATGACTGTTGAAGGCTGAAGACTCTGAACATAGTAACCTACTCTCCGCTTAAGTAGAGATACATAGATATGAGAAGCGTATAGTAGAAAGGAAATAAATCTAGGTGATTGTGTTTCAAGTTGGCCGCAGAGTTCAAGCATAATTTCTGTCATGCTTTTAAAAATCAGTCGTTGCTGAGTTAAGTCGAATATATATTGAAATACTTAAAGAAAAATGAAAATATCCACTTACTATTATATTTTTGCCAAATTGGCTAATTCTGACTTTTGCGGAAAATAATGGAATAGTTCAAAATATCATTTACAAGGAAAATATTAATGGTCCCTTGCTTGCATAGTATTAAAACTTGATCACGAGGCAGTATTAAATAAGTAGGCTACTCCAAATTGTTGCATTTTTTGGACAGTCCTTACATATGCACCACTAGATTGTTTGTGCTCTTGCTACGTCTGAGTGCACGTTGAAAGATTTATTGTATGCAGGTGCTATGTGGATTAGGGGTGTCGTATCAATATGAAGAAATAATGTAAATCTGGAGTAGATAGGTAGACAGCCTTAGGCCTATAGTAGCAGCAATGGTACCTGTGGTCATAGTACCTGTGGTCATTGACACTTAAAGTGCATACAAATATTTCGGACACTTGAACCTTGAGTCCAACTCGTGATACGTTCACTTTCACATGGAATCTGGTGAAGGGCACTTTATCCTCCTAGGTCCATGATCTTTCCTCCATTCTCAAAATAGCTGCGTTTCATGAGACAAAAATGGAAACCTTAAGTAATATCTATACTCATAATGAATTATTGCTCACTACCCATTAGGATAATTGTTGCCTGATTTTAGTGTACGTTACCAACAAGTTCCTACCAGATTGCATCATCATCTTCTAACATTTTTTAGTTAGAAAGTTATACCTTCACATGTTAAACTTTGAGATTAAACTTAATTGTAGAGAACACATAAGGTTGACCATTCTCATTATTTTAGACGGCAAAGTTTTCATATCTTGTGTAGAAACGGCGGTACACATAACTCTTATTATATCTTCCCATTATCTCGTTTTCCTACCTTCCTACTCTCCAGACTAAGAATGTCACGCATCTCGTAATTAGAAAGTTTAATGGAAGTGTTGCTTAGTTAAAAGTTCAGCCTTTACGCATACATATTAAGGAGAATGTATGTTATGCCCTCTGTTATACAATAAAAGGTTACATGCCATATCATGAAGACAATGTCTAACTTGGAAAATTGGTGACTACTCTACGTAGCAGCAAAGGTTTCTCTCAATCTATACAATGCGATAGTCATGATTAGTGAATTAACAGGTCAACAACCTTCAGCCTATAAATAAACAAGAACACGTTGTCGTGTTGGTAGTGGGTTTAGCATAATATACATATTAATATATGTACATACCTCTGAATAATATTATCATGAATTATTTTACTGAACTCTCGTAATTTGTTACAAACGTACATCTCTATCCTACCTACCCACCCACCACCTACCAGCCCATCTCATCATGACATTCGCCTGATGGAAACTACTTATTTCGTCTTATTTGTGCAATTTCCACAAGAAGTAGGTGATGTATGTATCAGGAACGTCCAGGCCGGACATTAACCGTGTAATACTTTGGCCCTTGCATTGGAGTTATTTCGGGATTTTATAAAACCTTTGTTGTCACAGAATTACCCAAAAATTTGAGAAATGACGCTGATTAGGATATTTTACCATTCTTGTAAAATCAGTTGTCATAAGGCGATTACGACAAAAATAAAATGAAAATTCTGAAACCGGTCGCTGTTTAATATATTGGAATAAACAATTGTCTACATTCAGTTGAATGTGTGCTATACAAAGCTATTTTACAACTTTTGAATCTCAAGATTCTGCTGGACGGCAGAAGGGACAACGATGTCGAATTACTTAATAATCTGATCGATAAACCGAAATCCCAAGATTTGCTGGACAGCCAAGATTTATTATTTAGTAATAATATGAAATTTGGTAATAACAGAGAGCTAATAATTATAGGACGAAAAATGATTATTCAACAACCATCTTAATTTTATTCAGTGGCCAGAATAGTTCGACATGGGGAGGAAGACCGTCGTTAGGAAGGCTATAAGGAGGATGGAGCCGTAGTGTTGAGATGGAGACGCCTTGTTGCATAAATCTCCCCTGCATAAACACAATCGAGACACCTTGTTGCGAATGTTGACCTCTGCGCATCGCTCTTCGCCATCATTCGGTGCTTGGCTGAGACAAGAACGGTCCGTGGCTGAGCCATATTCTGGAAGAAATCAGAGTCAAATGTATCAATTCAGGAAGCACAAACTTATTGTGTTTTTATTTGAAAGGCAGTTTGGTGATGATTCGCGACACATGAATAAACTACAGTGCATATATATTCTGTACGTGTAAATATGAGAATAATGCACATGATGTTGTATAATTTAATTTTACATACCATCTGCTGGTCCACGGATCCCCTCCGTCTGTTTGCGACACCAGCCTGAAGGACATGGTGTCACCGAAACAGGTAGTCCTGGCAACTCTTTGATGGACGTGTCATTGAAGTTGAATGGATCCTTACAATCTCCCATCTCACCCCTGGATCGGCATACATAGCAGCGAGTGGACAACCGACCTGTGGGACAAAAGAACGCATTCATTCATAAATCCAACTAAAGTCGTCAAAAGAGAGAATATCATTGATTGATTTATAGTTATTTATCTCTTTTTATTACCGTCGCATTTGGCCAAATAGAACAGTAACACAATTAAAGTAGCCACAGCACTGAGACTCATTTCATCACTTGATATGACCCACTTTCCCTGCACTTGTTTATTGTATCTGGCGAACCAGTGGGTCGATTTCACTTATCTTCGCAATTGACTCCTTACTTGTCCAATATAAATACAGTGCAGAATATATTAATAGGCAATGCGCTCGTTTTGCATTAATCATGGCAGGAGTGTTTCAAATTACCCCAAACTTCACCGAAATGTGTAAAATGGCATTAGTTAATGAAGCCATAAGTATGTCATATCAGCTACCGAGAGAAAATTTGTTAGACAAAACACGTCAAAAGGAGGCAGTGCAAAGTATTTTAGGATTTTTAATGTTTTGATTTTTAAATTGGTATTAATTGCAACGAGTGCGTGTTTTTAAGTACGATTTCACTTGAAATACATACGTCGTGACATTGTTAATTAAGAATGTCAATTTAATTTTCGTCCATCTGTGACGATTTAGGTGAAGGCGAACGGGCACTGTTTCCCATGTTGGGAGACGTGGTGACTATGCCTTCAAATAATGAATATTTATCTCGCCTTGAGATAAATATCACCCCTTCAACTTTCACGGGCATTTAAATACGTAGTTGTGTTAATTTATATCCTAAAAATGTGAAAATTGGAACGAATGTACGTACATGAATATATGGTGCATTTGAATATATAATGAGTTTCCGTTCCACACACTGAAAGTTTTAAATGAAAAATTAAACCTCCCAATTTTTTTTAAATTTTGATAATTCCTCACAAATTACAAGTTTTATTGGATCACTTAAAATTTTCAGTAGGTGAAATGGGAATCAAAATTATATTCCGATGCACTGTATATTAATGTACGTTCCTGCCAGGTTTCAAATATTTTGGATAAAAATTCACCGAACTACGTAATTCCGAGTGAAGGTTGGAGAAGGATAATTATGTCAAAGCGAGACTATTTGAACGCAGGGGTCACTCTTTCATTTGTGTCACCAAAATCGTCACAGAGTGAAGAAAAGTTTTATATGGAAGTATCGTCAGTTTAGGGGACTACTGTTAAATTTAGCATCTTATGTATACAGTGGGATGGCTTAAACGACAGGTCACGAGTTTACCTGGTAAGTATATTTATTTGAAACAGGTTATACTCATTGCTAAGTTAAGGTCCTAACAATTGTACTTAATAATTTGGCTAATCACCTATAAAATTCGGAATTTCTTTATGATAGACTTTTAAAAATCAGACATTTTTTTGAACGCATGGAAAATTCAGGTTACACCTGCTCCCTCTGTTTTTGAAAGATTTCTAAATTTTAAACGGTTCTGACAACCTTAGACGATGGGTAAAATTTTAAAATTTCCGAATTTTAAAAATACGACCATATCCTCACAAAAATGTTTAATTTGAGAAAACCATTAAACAGGGTCTAATTTTTAAAAGCCTACCATAGTTGAACTTACACAAATTATTTATTTTGAGGGTATTAAACGGGTCACAATAGATTTTACAATGGGCAATCTTACCCGAAATATTTCCTCAAATAGAAAAAACCGTTATTAACCTTGCAGTCTGATGCTCACCCAGTGAAACCTCCGTTATATGTATGTAAATGGTGTAAGTTGTACTCGATTTTAATACCAAAAACATGTTGATGGCAAGAATGACCATTATGTATGAGCCAACTTATTCATAATCCGACCCTGCTTAAACAAGACAGATATTCAGTTACAGTTACATAAAGTAGGTCAAGTACTTGGTGATGGCTTCCAGTATGTAAACGCATTGATGACTATTAAGCTTGGAAGATATGAATGTACCAAATTTTTATTCTTCCTTGGGTATTGGGAGTATTTGTGGATTAGGTTTGGTTTGCTTAGGCATGTATACATTTATCTTACAGTGACTATTATATATTTATAAACTCACATACATGTATCTGGGTCAAATATTTGGATTCATACGCTGCTTTGATTACTTGTCATGAAATGCACTACCTACCTACATACATATCGTCGTATTAATTCTAAAAAGAATTAAGTGCAGTCGTTGCTTAATTTTGAAAAGATGCAAGTACAATCGATCCTTAATTTAAGTTCCATAAGAGGCACATTGAACGCGCATACGTCTATTTAAAATTAATGATCGATTGTACTTACGTCTTTTGAGAATTGGAACGACAATATCTTGGTTAATAAATGCACAGACCATTTTTCTTTGCATTGTACTGGATATGATACACGCACTAAATATATGTATGTACAATGTAGTCGTGATGTATTAAATATGTAATCTGAATTTCTTATTTATGGTTAATTTAATAAATTCAATCTATCTCGAAATTTGGTAATTGAACAGATGGAGATGTTTATATGATTGAAGGGTGATATATGTAACCTAAACTAGTTGGGTTTTTCAGAATGATTCACAATTTAATTTTTGCATAACTGATTCCCTTAACATGGAAGTTCGGCATATGTATAAAGGCTAAGGACATCCCCTTAGTGGGAATGTATCCAATAAAAAACTTTAGAGAGAGTTGCCATGGGTTGACAAAATAATTGCCGTGTAGGTATAATCGAATTTTACTTTTTAAAAACTACATTATCTTTATCATATCCAATACCAAAATGAGCTTTTTGAAAATCACTAGGATTTTTAGAAATGTTCTGAACATGGGTATGCACTAAAAATGCGATATTTAGAAACAGTTGAGTTTCCAATGGGATCTGATAAAGCAACAAACTCAGGTGGTAATTACCGTTAATTAAGTTTAATTACCAGCAGTAATTACCACCCGGAACCCTGGACAAGACAAATTGTAACAAAAATGTCAATGTAGTTGGGGGAGTTTTGTAAAGTGATAACCAAGTCTTTTCACACTCTGTACAGTAAGACTAGTCTATTTTATACTCCTAAGCAATCTGATGAATGGCAGCTCGAAGCTCTAGTTCGATAATGTAATGACTAGCGGGCACATGAAATCATCAAAAATGCAAGATAGGCGATCATCACGCGTTTCATCTTCTACACTCTGTCTCTCACTCTTAAAATCACCAATCCATCTTGAACCTGTGTTACATTACCCATATACTTTCTGCAAATTTTCAAAATATTTGGTAGCAGATTCCCAATACAGTCCAAAAAATGGCTGATCTCACCTAAATTTCAGAAAATTAAATTTTTGCTTACACCTTTTGATTTTGAGATTTTATTGTGAAAAAAGTCAGATTCTTATAAATTTTCGTGCACAATGTACAAATGATACAAGCATTAAATGAGTGGAGTTTCAAATTTCTAACTTTATGCTTAACGGTAGATTCTAAGGTATATCCCCTCGTACAACAGTAAAAAACGGATATTGAGCTAATTTGTTTAGTTGAGTAAATGGTTTAGGGACATTTCAGGATGTAACCAAAAATGTGATCCTGTCCAGATTATCGATTCTTCTCAGTACGCCTCAGTTGATTGTGATGCATCTGTACGGTAGCCCCGATAGCAAAACCGATGCAGAGTATGGTACATATTGGCAAAATCATATCATAGGCGAATAGACAATGAATCTGGAATAAATGTAAAATATAATTATGTATTGACATTAGATAAATGAAAATATTTCATTAAAGCTTGTTTGTAATCTGTGACTTGCCATAAACAAAATAATAACGCTTTGACAACTAATTTTCCAGAGTGATTGATAGAAATAATATTTCTCGTGATGAGAAGAATAATTTACATATTTCCAATGGTAAATTTTACGATCCAATATGTTAATATTTTTTGAGATTCTCGATGCATTTGGTTTAATTACTAGCGATTTTCTCCCCCAATAACCTCCTGGCTCAGGAAAATTGAGACCTTCAAATTCACCGTAGATCTTAAGATTCTCCATTCCCGTAGGATTCTTGGCAAATGCTAGATCTTAAATCAAATAGATTTCAGCTTTTGGCTAATTTGACAAAACAAGTGCTTTGTATTGAGACCGTCGCTGTAAAATAATTTCAATACTTACTAAACTTATGTATTCTTCACGTCTTATATATAGTTATATATTCCTATACCCCGGAAGTAAAAATAAAGCAACTATTTTGTATTTGAATATCCTTGTTTGAATACAAATCAATCAGGCATGTTGTATATTTACTTTTCCTTCCGCACTATAAATATTACGTAGTCAACACGATATTTTGTATGAATTAGTGTTCTCTTTTATGTAAGTTTACCAATTCCAGGTGGAGTTTCCAAAGGTTTATTTGACAAATAACGTACTTGATAACGCAGCGTTTGTATGATTAAACACTTTGATTTGATTTATGCATATGATGCTTTATTTACAAAAATCTTAATATGATATACGATTGGCAATTAATCCATAAGTTTAGTCACAAATATTTTGTCACATAACAACTATAACGATACGTATGAATATGGTTTACCTTTTGTAAGTTTTAATCTTTACACTCCTCTCAATGACAGATAAATATTCAGGTGCAAGTCAAAACTGACAGGTGCCAACGACATATTTATTTGCATGTAAATAAATGCAAATAAAACTGAATAAAACTTTGAACCACTGCCTAAAACGAATATGTAATAAGTTTCTTTATTTACAATGTTATGCAAATTCTTCTACATATTTAGATGTGTTTAATTAATAAATTTTTATACATTAATCAATTCATTGTCATGTATATGCCTGAGCCTGATGCGGTAAAATCTCTCTGAAATCTGTTATACGTCAAATAGTATCAAATATTTCCGTAATTATGTTTATGTAAAAATTGCTTAACTAAAAGTAGTACAACCGTTTAGCAAGTCTTGGATCAATTATTTTTTATCATTATAATTTACCTGTGGCATTTAATGAATTTTTATTGGAGTTTTGTTTTATAAAAGTAAATTATTTTGATTAATGTGTAATGCATAAATATGTAAAGAATACGGTCTTGTAAACTCTTTATTATTTAAATTTCGACAAAGCATATTTACTAATCGAATAATTAAATTTCACTCTACTTTTGACAATTTATAATTATGACGGTATCATATGATCCTTATACATAAACTTAAATTAATTCATTACCAACTAAGCTGTAGGAAATCATACAACATATCTTGGCTTGACATGCAACTCCTTTAGCAAGATTTACAAGTACGTACGAATTTAATCTGACAACATGTTTAATTCTTTTTATTATAATTTAACAAACGCAAAATCACAAAGAAGTTACCTTGATTTTAAATTTGTTTATTCTGTTATTAACAATTGAATTTATTTAGTGTAATTCCTACTTATCTCCCATCAAGTAAAATTTTAAGTGTGCCCAAAATATTCAAAATTTAAAAATAATTACTACATCAAGAATCACTCAGTGGGCGAATTTTCTTCTATAAAAGTACTCATAATAATAGTTTATTCCATAGTAAATCACTTATCCAACAATTAATTTGTTAACTATACTATTTACTCCCGGTTTAGGTAGACATTGTACTTAATCCCATTCTTTGCACCTTCCAACGCGACATTGCACAAGGCTTCGGATTCTGCCAAACTCGCATTTACTTTTGCCCGAGCTGTATTATTGCTATAAAATAAGGCCAAAATTTCCATCACTTACTTACACCCGAATAAAATTATTAAATTTTGAGTTACCTTTCTTGCACCTCTACAATGTTTTTCTGAGTATCCTGCGTAATTTTGTTTCTGGCTGTCAGTTCTTTTTCTAATGCGATATCTCTCTGGATAGATTTTTCAATTTCCATCTGTTTAGTTTTCTCTTCATATAGTTTCGCAGAACCGTCAATTTGCATTTTTTTAATTTGAGCTTTGCTATTTTCTTCGATAGATTTCATGTTTTGAGCTTGGGTTATTTCTTTCAATTTTAGCTGTAAATTGTGACGTGATTGTTCAATGGGGCTATTGATCTTGGCCAAGGCTACAGTTTTATCTTTATCTATTTTCTGCTGGTCAACAAATGCGTTACGTTGACTTTCCATGATATTACTTTTCCACTCTAAAGTTTGTCTGTTGAACTCCAAAAATTGGTCTATTCGGTGACTACCAATTGCTCCAATTGTTGTATTCTGGAAATTTGAGAGAAGAATGGAAATAATTATTATTGTAAAGTAGACAGAAATAATAGGTTCAATCTACAAGTATATTACCATAACTTCAGCGGATCTTTTGTTCACTTCGTTTACAGCGTGGTGGGCCGCAAGCCGTTTTTCTACATTGGGATCGACACATATTTTCTTCACTAAGTAGCAGAACACCGAAACAAAGGACGAGGCCAGAACAAGATATATAAAATTGGGAGTTAAAGCCTTGATGAAATAAAAAAAAGTTAACTTAGTTTAAACTAATATCCGTAAAATACTGGAAGAAACATACCAACGAAAAAAATGTAATAGCAAGGCATGGCACAACAATAGGTCGTGACTCCTCGGGAAGAACTTGAGTAAAACTTTTGATAAAACCAAGAAATGTCGCTTCTGGAGAGTCAACTATACCCATCTGTTCTTCAGAAACTCTGATTTCAAAGAAAATAAATAATTTAGAAGGTTTGTTAACTAAATTTATATAAAAAAAATCTTTGTCTTAAACACACTTGGATTGGTCTAGAATATCTTTCACCCCATTGTAAAGGTCCCTTGATTGCACCTGTCCCAAATAATAGTCCGCATTCACATTGTGATGTTCCTGAGGCATGTTTCCGTTTTCTTGGGTCGCCAAGGGATGAACCACTCCTACTTGTTTCCCTGAAGATGACTCCATGGCGAACGTTTCATTCGATGGGATATCATCCGTCTGGTCCTTTACACATATTTACAAAGCTAAATTAAGAAAATTTTATGTATAAGGTTGACTCTACAAAATGTCTGCAACTTACGGTAACGTCTTCAATATCTACTGACCCATTCGATCTAACCATTTTAAAAGTTGTATTAATTCGATTTGGTGAAACAGAGAATATTACGGGAATTCTTTTAGTTCCTTTTTTAAAATTTTTGTTGGTAATAGTTCAAGGATTAAACACCGACTACAAGACAACCTTGTGTGGCCCGTTGTACTACCCTCTTGTATTTATATACTTACATAATAGCACATGTAAGGAAGCAATGGTTAAATTAGTTACAATAGTCTGGAAAAACTTTATATTGTTTGTTATTTACTGCGTACATACATACATATTTACTATTGATTAAAGCTTTCAGCAAATATCCTGTATGTTGCATTGTGAGGAGAGTTAGGTAAACATTAATACAGGTCTACGTTCTCCACACTAACCACGTTTTATAGTCAACCAGTACATATTTATAAATGTGGAAATACATATTTATAAATAAATCAATGTACAAATAAGTACGAGGGAGAAAGTAAGGAAGAACATTGAAGAGTTCGAAGTATTTCCGTGTGTCAACCGAGTACAAAATAACTTTACATCTGTACTGACTGTTTTATGCATAACTCACATTCCCGGAAACTATTACGTCCGTGATCTCATACAAATCTAAAGGCAAAGTTATGTACACAAATAGGTTATATGTAGGATGTAGTGTTGCTTCAGAGTGTAAATATGTATAAACATCGGTCCACTTGCTCTGACCAGGACAATATTTCTTCCGCATTATCAAACTTGCTCTTCACTCTATAGCAAATTATTTATTACCCAAACCAGACGTTGGTTTATTGTTGTTTACGACTGAATGCAAACATTCTTATTGCTGGATTGAAAATATATGTAGACACATTCATGTGTATGTATGTTTATTAAGAGGAATGATTTAATCTACATATTCAGTAAACCATAGTTAATTAGCATATTTTAAGACATCTGAATTATTCTGTAGTATAAGTTATTAATTTTTTATGTCCTATTATAAACTGTACATATTTCAAATCAGAACACAACCAGGTGAAGAATTACAAACACGGTCGTCAATCCTCAAATTAAATAAAAGTTTGGCGTTATCATATATTAACCTTTATTTTTATTATTTTTTCGACTTTTACACATAATATTATTGTTTATTCATCACTCTCATTTCCGTAGGTAAACCACTATAAACGTCAGAGTGAGAAAGATTATTTGTGTTTACCGTGAGGTGTAGTTTACCAACAGTCAATAACGTTTATTTTACCATAAAAATTGTACATGCGTATGAGCGAATCAAGTAAAGATATCAAACATATATCATGCTTCTTATCGGTCAATGAATTATTAAGTGATTTTTTTATTGTAACTCAAACCAGACTCGACATGGTAGTTGTGGTTGAAACATTAATTAGTAATTTCTATTAAATTATATTTATTACAAATATTATCAAATAATTTCCAACTTAGATGCAAAGTATTTGAAAAATGGCCGACACATTTTTAAATAACCACATTAAGGAGGTGCATAATATGTTAAATTTTATATTCCATACCATTACATATTATTATTCATAAAAGTAACTTAAACTTTTTTTAACAGCAAGAAGAAGTCCGTGAAAAGGCCGGGATAGAAATTCAGAGGCAGCAACGTCAATATCAAATTGTGACCGCGAAAATTGAAGCTGAAACATCAAACGCATTACAAGTAAGTTAAAGAATTAATTCGTGCACCTATTTAATACGTATTGTAAAAGTGTTTGCAAACCGTCTCCTCTCCAAGCATGGCTTAACTTTGTGAAATGTTTTGCCAAAACAATTTCCAAAAAATAACGATACAAATATTCGAATTTGTAATGTATGCCCGGAATAAGAACAATGAGGAATGTTTTGAATAATTTCTGTAGGCCATAGAATTCTCGTCGTCAGCACAAATCGAAACTATAAACTTATCAACAGCACGATCAAAATTGCGAACTCAGAAATTAGCCGATGAGAATGAGAAGAAGGCTAAACTTGAAGCAGCTCAGGCACTCATTACAGTGGAAAATAACCAGGCTAAAATTTCTGGAGCAATTGTGCAATATCAAGAACAAACCCGAACCTTACAAGAAAACGCTAACTCCGCACGTGTGGTAACAATTAATGAGGAAAATGAGAAGAGGCGAATTTTACAGGAGCAGACGGACGATGAAATTAGGAAAATCAGAGAAAGAGGAAAACAGGAAATTGCCTCGATAAATGAAATTAGCCATAAAAGAATTAAAAAGTTGAGGAGAAAAGGTACTAAATTTTTTTTATTAACTTTCAGCAGTATTATAGTTATGCTTTAAAATTTTTCATAACCAATCCAAACTAATGATTAAAGATATATTTTAATCTTGCGTATTACTAAAAAAATTAGGCCAAGAAAAGAATATATTTTTGTACTTGAACATTCCTTTTAAAAAACTATGTTCTATTCCGTTGCAGATTGGAAAAATACAGTTTTGGAGATAATGTGGAAATTTTTAAGTTTTGTCTGGTGTCTGAATTATCAATCATATGCGGCAACTGTTATATATTTATTAAGGATTTCGACCATAAAGATATTTCACTTGATAGGATGGTCATTATTCAAGGTTACTTCTTTCCTAATGGTCTTAATTGTTATGATACCTTTGGGATTGGATATCATTTTGCAATTCTTTAAATGTTTTTCTTGCAAGACTTTAAATCTGATTTTCCCAGTTAGACCTCAAGTTTTACAACCTTCGACTTAACTTGGCTAATTTTCGTTTAGTTCCTGTATTTGAGTAATATTTCGTTTTTTGTTTATAATAGATTTTGAAATTTCATACATAGTATTACGTAATTGCAATGATGTACTTTCTCTGTCAATCAAAATCCTTATAATTATGTAAACATTAACAAAGTTTTTGTGCTAATAAATATTTAACTTGATATACATCAATTGCCGATTAATACAAATATTGATTGATTTATATAATTTATTTAATTCATAGGAACTAAAAGAGGACAAGGCAAGAACAAAACGGGCATCAATTGCTTAAACAATACAAATAATAGCAGATTCGAATCGTCTCAAAAGCGTGTACATCAAGATTCGCATTTAAATCCAAATCCAAATGTCAATTCTAATTACTGCGATCCTGGCATTGTTACCAATGAAGCATCCAACCCATGTCGGAACTCTGTGTCCAATAATAATGAAGAGTACGGTTGTTGTTTCGCCCAACAGCAAGAAAACGATGAGCATGAAATTAATTTTCATAGTGCTTCTTCAGAAAATTATGGATCATTTAGTACACACAATTTTACTTCAATGAGTAAGGATGAAAAACTTTGTTGGTGCCTTGCGTGGATAACATGGACAGACTCACGACAACCAGAAAATCTTGAGCCAAACCATACCACCGTTGTACCAATTACAAACCAGCCGATAAGGCGTACAATTTAAACTAAGGATTGAGTCATAAGTTTCGCAAGGTACAAAAATCTAGTTTGTTATAGAACCATAAGTTCAAATTCCACAAAATTTGGCAATCTTTATCACAAATACGATTATCTACATAATTAGCCCAAATTTGCATCGTCAATCCTTTTGTACCCAATTTCCCATGAGTTCTTCCGAGAGTGTCTCAAAACTGCTTTTCCCGACTTTTCCGCCACGTTCATAAGGATTTCACCAATTAAGTGTCGAAATCCTCGCAGGTTTTTTGGTGCTTTTGGTCGTCTAGCATACTCTGTCTTGCACAATACTCAAAACCTTTCAATACCTATGGTTTGTGGGACATTAGGAACATTATCCGATTTAGCTACAAAATCGATTTTTTTTCTCACTCAGGTAGCTCGTGACAATTGGATCATAATTACACGATGCCTTATCTGGCCGCTTTTTTGCCAAAGTGCACAACACGTTTTGCGAGGACTTGTCGTTGTACCCATCGCATTTTCTTAGCGTTAGGAATACACTCTAAACAAAATCAATTCCCCACGGTATAGATATATGACTCTACCGCGTGGTATTGATATGGTATTAGATCAATACTACATGGTTTATAAATCAATACCAGGTAGTATTAAAATTAATACGGTAGAGTATTATTTTAATACCGAGTTTATACCGGTATGGTATAACGGATCAATACCGACGCGGTAGAGTCATATATCTATACCATCGGCATAGAATCAATACCCAGTTTATAAGAGTGTACCATCCTAATTGAAACAGAATTTTCGTGACAAATCGCTTTTTCTACAAAATAATAAAAAAAAACTTTCAATTTGTTTTTGCTTACCGTAAGATCAACAAACAGTGGTTGCGAAACTTATGACTCGCTCCTTAGTTGCTCATCATCGGGAAAAAGAAAGGTTTGGAGATCGTATAAAGCGTCAAATCTTTGTTTATGTCAGCAGCCCTAACAAATTCATTGTGCTGAAACACACATGCAATAAAATCAGGCAAAGATTATTAAAAAAGTCTCATGAGAGATGCATACATACATATACACTGGCGAGCGAAATAAACTCTGTAGGCATGGCTTCTTTAGATTGAAAAAAAAACAACCTTACGGATATTTATCGTCCAGTTTTGAGACCTTTTTTATTTATAAATAAAATAAAATAAAATAAAATAAAATTTAAGTGTTTAAGAAAGATTATGCGAGCTAAGAAAAAACAGTTGCTACCACATGAGAGAAAGATTTTCCAAAAAGTGAAAAACATTTATTGTGAAATAAAGGAAACAGTCAAAATTTTTGTTTTGTAAGTAATGTATTACTTGTCAATAAGTCAAATAGTTAATATATCTAATGAAATTAGGTAGCGTTGGATGGTAGTAATTAATTATAATCTATTACAAGCCACATTAAGACCCAAGTCTCTTGAGCAGCAGAGTCAGGCAAGTGTTGTACATACATGATTAGTACAAAAAATCTGTACAAGTTTGATGCAAGTTTGATCGCTTTTAATTGTATTGTTTGTATAAATAACTAATACAGAATTTGTACGTATAATAATGCACTAAATCTGTACCAACACAGCTAATTGTATTAACTAAACTTGTGCAAACTTCATATGTAAATCTGACACAATAAATGTTGCACGAAATGTATACTAATAAATCAATGCCAGTTTGGTATGCATTATTTACAAATTTATGCTTCAAATAGCTACAATATATTTATCAATTTATTGATTTAAAGCCGACAGACAATGCAATTTGGTAAATTTATAACAGTTACATCGTAAGTAAGGACTCAACAGTAATAATGGTAACTATTATGTAAATCAGATAACTACACAAGTATACATAATTACACATTAAATTCAGCTACGCGTTTGTCTAGCTGCATTAATTTTGATTTTTTAGCAGACCCAGGGCTTATGTACCCGTCATGTCTCTCTGTCTGTCTGGGAGGCCGATGGCTAATGGCCTCACAATATATTATCCTACAGATAATCCTGGGCTGGCCCAGGATACTTTGGTCGAGTAATAAAAAAAATATTTAAATAGTTTATTAGTATTTACGCTATGGTCCAAGGTTTGCAAAGCCGTTTTCATTTTTAAAATCGCGCAAAAACTAACCGATTAGTGGTAATTGTGAACATCGACCACTTTTTTAAAAAAGCGATTAATTTTAAAATTTCTACCATATTATTTTTGTGTGACTTGAACTTCCATGTCAGTAATCCATCTTTAACACGTTTAACATAGAAAACTAGACCAAACATGCTACTGGTATTTAAAATTTCATGTCACACATGAAAATTCTCAGAATTTTAAACTATGTAATTTTAATATGTATTTTTTTTTATTTATTGTCTGAAAATCATAGAAAAACCAAACAAAAACTCACAGAAACCCACAAAAACACCAATTTAACATGGACATTATGGAGGGGTTTTTCCTAGGTTTGATATCCACAAAAACCCCAACCCACAATAATCCCAACCCACAAAAACCCGTGGCGAACCCTGCTTTCAATGTAAACTAACAAAATCTAAAATTCCTTCATTATGTCATTACTACCGTTAAATTCACCGCCATTCCCCGCATACTGAAATACTCAACTACCACGAACGGTTTACCAGCTATCATTTTACGAAATTTTATATTCCCCGCCCACCCATACAAGTCTCTCGTTTCCCCGATCCCATTACTACCAATTTGCGGACAAAGCACGGGCCACTGTTCGCCCATAGCCCAACGATGGGTCGGTACGGTAAACTAGTCAACCTCCAGTGGAGGCTGGTAAAGGTCACAGGTCCGGCTGATTTGGGCATCTAAAACAGTTTCAGGTTGCACGTGGTCCAGAACCTCCAACTCGGCGCAGAAATGTAGCGGTCCATCCGAAAAGTTTGTCGGGGTTCCGGAGCCGATGAGAATGTCACAGTTGACAACGACCGCACCCACTTCCCACAGTACAAGGGAGGTTGGATTGTACATGAGGTCATAGGCCTGGAAGACTTTGCACGCAGTGTTCGGTGCGGGGATGGCCGACGCGAGGGTGGCTGTTTGAGGAAGGCGGGTGAAATCGGGGATCGATGTGTCACTCTGTGGCGGGAAAAAAATAGAAAAAGTTAGCCAAGACTGAAGAAATGTCTGCAGTGTTTTCGTATCAACTCCGGTCAGGTTGACGGGTATCTCGATATTTTTAGATATTTTAATAGACCCGAGAAAAAAGTAGTCATAAATTCTTACCAATTGGAATAATACTGTTAACTTATACCGTACTTGCTACAATTTGACGACCATAATAAGTATAAAATAAATTCTGTGAAATTTTTTTACAATTCTGTAACAGAATGCGTGCCAAAAAGCAATAAATTGTAATTTGGCCAAATTTATGGTCAACTTTGCGTCGAATTATAGCCCTTGTGGTAGAATCGCATTGTGATTCCGAAGGGTTAATTCCATGATTTTTTAGTTTAACAGGCAATACACAAATTTTGGAAAGGCGCGATTTGTGAACTTTTAAAATAATCCTTACCTCAAAGAACGTTGCCTCTTGCCCTTCTTCATTAACCAGGAGGTGAACCGCGGAAACATTCACGACTCCGAAAGGCCACAATTCACGCGGGGATATTTTATCCAGGGAAGGAACCCTATAATTCGCGCGCTGAATTGTATCACACCCGCCACAGTTAGGGCGAGGCTTGGATAAAATATTGTTTAAGAAGATCGCCCCAAAGGTGTCGTTTATCTCGACGACGGCCGCACTAAAGTGTAAAGTCCAAAAATAATCCGGAATCTCTTTCAGCTCACGATATTTCGCGGTTAATCTGGCCACCGGAAATGACTCGTAATTTGGAGATAAGCGCCAAATTTCTCTCCATGGAGCGCAATCATAGGTGGAGACGTATTTGTAGTCGGTGGCCGCAGTTTGGGGTAGAATAAATATCGAAAAGAGGAAGTAATTTGTGACCAACATTTTAGATATGTTAAGAAATTGTAATTATTTACTTATTTCTGGGGTAAAATCATTTGTCAGATTTATAAACGTTTTCTCGAGATATTTCCGTGCTCGGATCGTATCGACGGAAAGGTTATTAAGGGACTGTGGTTATTTAAAAAAATATTCCATGTTTTCAGACGTATTTCTTAAGACAATCACAATCTTAGGTATTTGGGGAAACGATACCTATTTTAACAGAATATTTACTGAAGAGGGTTGATACTTTGGGTGGTTGGTTCTAAGTTGTATAAAAACTACTAAAAATATGTAGGGTGTGAAACAATAGAAGTTTACTAGGTAAACTATTTTTAGGACTTGTTAAATGTTGATGAATTTAAGAGAACTTAAGGATAAGGGACATATATAGTTAAATTCACCCTACTTTTTACCTGAGGAGAGCTAGCACTGGAAAGTGCATGGTTGAAACCAGGAAACAACGGCCTTTCCAAAAAAATAAGTATGTAAATATCTATGTAAATATAAACCGACTTGCATATTTATTTATGTAGTATTCACTTATGTACACCATTTAGGTCATTCGAGAGGATAGTATGTAACCATTTTTCGTGTTTAACGCTTTTCTTCACAGAGGCGTTTCTTTTACTCTTGAGATAGGCAGATTTGGCTAATTTTTGGAGAATGATGAAATCACAGGTAGTTTAAGCCGGAATTCAACGAAACTTTGTACAAACATATAGTAATAAATTAGTGATAATACACTAAAATTTAAGAACTCAACACACATGCATTACAGAGCATGTACATTTATTATCTCTTACATTTGAGACAGAGTATAAAATTATTTAAAAATATCCCGCAACCTGTATCACCTTTCATTACCGATTATGAATATAAAGTTATTGTTAGGATTTTCGGTGGAATTCAAGGATGACATTGTAACGAAGATTTATTACTCAAACTTTCAATAACAATGTGTTCTCTTCATCAGGAGAATACAAGCGAATTAAAATTAAAATTTTAGGGTTGACATATTTTCTAAGAGTGGTACATACATAAGTGATCACTGTGGGCAACGTAATAATCGTAGCATAAATGCTGTCCATATGGGATTCAGATTCATCCCGGTGCCCCTATTGAGTGCACTCTTAACAACTGGGTGACAATATTACTTCCCATGTAGATACTATATGACTCTACCGCAGGTAATATTTATAGTACAATTTACCAACGGAGAGTAACAAATTATCTACTGGGTCGGTAGCATTTTTACTTCCATAGTGTATACAATAGGTATAAGGCAGGATTTAGCCTCTGAAGTTTTACTACCTCTGGGTGATAAATTATCACCAGCACGGTAGAGTCATATAGTACCTCCGTCTGAGACAATCTGTTCCAAAAATTATTGAGAGTGTGGATTTACAACTTTCTAGATTAGATTTTCTAGGTAATCCTTCCATAAATAAAGTTATTAAGTTATTATGTATATTTATAACACTGCATCCTATAATATTTCAGTATTATTATTCCAAAGCCATCGTTAAACTTACACGAATCCCACTCGGGCTAAAATGCCACAACAACGAATGGTTTGCCTCCAATCATTTTTCGAAATTTTATATTACCCGCCCATTCATACCCAACTTCTGAATCGATCTCATTGCCAGTAAGTTGGGGACAAATGACGGGCCATTGGGTACCTAGTCGATATCAAAAAGTAGGTTTCGTCGTCCACTCAATTTCCAAGGGTGGCTCAAAAACTAGACATGTGGTGTCGATCCCCATATCGAAGACACCATGAGGGAAGGCGTGGTCCCGAACTTCCAACTCGGCGCAGAAATGTGGCGGTCCATCCCAAAAGTTGGTCGGGGTTCCGGAGCCGCTGATTATGTCACAATTTACCACGACCGCGTCCACCTTCCACAATGGGAGTGAGGCAGATCTGTAGTCGGGACCCCAGGCCTGGAACACTGCGCAAATCGTGTTCGGAAGTGGGATAGAAGTGGCAATTGAAGCAGTTGAGGGATGAGTGTTATTCTGGAGAGTCATGTTAGTCTGTGGTAAACAAAACACAAATAATTAAGGCTTCGTATCAAGGTTGCAAAAATCTCATCTCACATTCACAAATCTCATCTCAGTGACAAATAGTGAGATTACTGAGAAATAATGAGATTAATGAGAAGTATGAGAAATAGTGAGATTTATGGGCGCCATCTAGCGGAAATCGTAATGCACTACTAATAGTACTTTACTATTACCACTAGGTGGCGCCACAAATCTCAATATTTCTCATTTATCTCACCCAGGCTCAAATGAGATGAGGTAAGCAAATAATTAAAGTTATGTATGTTTAGAATTGATCTTTATAATGAAGGATTTATAACCGCACCAGTAATTTTGAATTCTTGATAGCCCAATTTTTTATAACTATTTAAATACAACTCCAATTTATTACCAGGCTGGTAATATTTTTTACTTTGTCGTTCACCTAATACCACCGTCGTAATAAATTCCTTAGTACGAAAACAAATTTACTTTGATGTAGCAAGCTAATTTAGTAGATCAATTCGGTAATTAAATGCAAGATTAGGAAAATTTAGTACACTCTTAGAAACTGGATATTAATTCAATACGAGTTGTAGTCACATATGACTCTACCACCCCGGTATTGACCCGTTATACCATACTGGTATAAATTTGGTATTACAATAATACTCTACAGCATTGATTTTCATACTGC